AGTGAGTCCCTTTACTCGTAGTCTATTCGATTTTTTGGCTCATGTAGAAAAGGTACATTGATGGGACAACCGGAAGGCGTTCGGATGCAGCTCACCACTATGTCTACAACCAAGCTCACAACCCGAATTTACACGTCTGGGACGGAAAGCGCGTGAAGCGGATCATCTTCGAGTAAGTGGCCACTTGGGATCACACTTGCAGCAAACGGCTGACGGCTTCCCAAATGAAAGGGACAAACGTGCTGTGGGTGTTGAGTTCACCAGCGATCCAGTGTCTTGCCCGGATGCGAACCAGTCGTCAAGTATTGTAAGAGCATCAAAACTTGTTATTATCTCTGCTGGGGCGTTCGGTTCTCCGGCCATTCTGGAGAGGTCTGGGATTGGTGCCGGGGCGATTCTCAAACGGTGCGGTATTGAGCAACTAGTGAATCTGCCTGGCGTCGGAGAAAATTATCGAGGTGCACTTTGATACATTTATTTTATGAGCTTGGCTGAGGACGGTCAGATCACTATCTCGTCCTTGTTCCATACTTGGCTGCCGATGAGATCATTACCACTGAGGCCCTCTCTCGTGGGAACAGTATTCTACAGGGTAAGCATGTTTCTCCTCATGATTCCAGCATCTTTACAACTACTTGGATTTAGAAAGCCTTGCGCAAAAGTTGGTGCAAGTTCTCATTATCACTGCTGGTATCGTGCTGAATGGAATCTCAGTGGCATCGATTCGAAAATCAAGTGGCGTCCTGATGACGAAGAATTGAAAGCCATGAGTCCAGCTTTTCAACCACGCTGGAAGGAGTTCTTCCAGGACCGGCCTGACAAGGCTGTTGCAGTATTTTCTCCTTTTGCGCAGTACGTGCATATTACTTAACTTTAATGATATGGAAATTCTCATGACAGCCAGATATTTTTCACCACTCTCAAGGCCGCGATCGAGTATACCACCTACTCGTAACTACATGACTGCCTGTTATTATACAGTACTGCTCTCCGGCCACCCTGTGGTTCTTTTGTTAATCTTTTCATTAGCTTTACCCCGTGTCTGCTGGAAGCGTTCATATCAACGTGACAGAGGACGGCAAAGAACGAATGGACTTTAATACAGGCTTCCTAGACGAGTGAGTGGACGTATTTCATTTAGGGCACTTTGCGTGACCAAGACACTCTGTATAGTCCATCCGATATTGTTCCTCTCAACTTCGGGTATAAAAAAACACGCGAAATTTTTCGACGCATGGCTTCCTACCGAGGTGAAGTTCCTGCTGACCATCCTAATTTTCCAGAGGGAAGCGCTGCAGTCTGTAGAGAAGCCTCCGGGCCAGTGGAATTGGATGCACCTGACATCATCTACACTGCCGAAGATGACGAGGTGATTGATCGATTCCTCCGCGACATCGGTACGTGCTCAATTGCCATCCCCATTATCACGATAAAATGCTGAATTGAACATCAGTGCAAACTCCATCCCACTCGGTATGTAGGCTGAAGCTTTCATGATTTCCTATCTGATCTTTGTATTTTTAGCTTGGGACTTGTGCCATGAAACCGGAGGCAGATCATGGAGTCGTCGATGCTCGGCTTAATGTATACGGGGTGTCGAACCTGAAGGTTGCAGATCTGTCCATTTCGCCGTTGAATGTTGGCGCGGTGAGTGCTGAACCAAGAATTGTTGATGTACGATCTAACGATATACACAGAACACTTATTCGACGGCACTTCTCATCGGAGAGCGGGCTGCGATGATCATTGCTGAAGACTTGGGGATCAATTGCATTTGACAAACGTGCTTACGTAATCGCTGTACAAACATAATTTTTCTTCCTTGAACCAACAAACAACTATACCGGCGATACCATACTTATCTACAATTCGAAAGCCAAGGCCGATACACTGCATAGTACATGATACGTATAGCGAATCCTTACTGCAGGAGCGAGTCCGTCAGGCTACCGTTGCGTATATGTGAATGTTTTTGCGACTTTCAAAGCCAACGGTGGCTTCATACCACATTGACCCTCGAGGTCCTTCTGTAGTTTATTCTGCAACTTCTTATCCTCCGGATCAGGATACCCTATCCATCGCATGAACGCGCTGCCTATCTTCTCATGTTTCCATCCCCCTGACACTGGCGCAACAGCTGCATGATTCCGGATCAGCTGACGCACGACTTCTCTCGATGCCTTGTACTTTTCATCTTCATTCCTCAGGGTCGTTACGCATGCATGTCCCTCCACGACAATTTGGGATGCCCCTAACGATGCACAGTTCCGCGTCCACCATTCCTCCATGATTCTCTCGTCCTCGAGGCACGTCACCACCATGACTATGGGCACTCGCCGCCGATATAACACTTCGTGGAATAACTGATAGTTGCTCCGCAATGCTCCACTGTCACGGCCTTTTTGAACGCAATATATCAACAAACTGGTGCCGCCGCATGCATCGAGCTCGCGAAGAAGGCGGCTGGCATTCTTGATGGATCGGTGGTACTCTTCTGGCTCGAGTTCTGGGTTCTCGATGCCCATCGTGTCGAAGACGTTATACTGCATCTCATCATCAAAGAGCTTGGGTAACGTATACTTGGTCCATGTGAGGGTGCAGCGTTTGAGGTTGGAGCCTGTCTGAGCGATGTTTTTGTCTGCAATGAGGTTTATGAGGGAACTCTTTCCGGCGCCCATTGCGCCGAATATAACGATGTTTTTAGCGCGAATGGCGTTTTTCTTTTTCGCCATCGTGATGTGTATAATGGGTAGCTGACGGGTTATGGGAAGTGGTCGAGGTGAAGCGAATTGTTCCTTTGGGCGGTCAGAATTGACGTGACTTTTCCTAGCTATCTGTCAGGGCTGGTGCCTTGTATGTACCCTTATATGATGCAGAAGCTTTCTGACACGACTTTTCCGTGCTCTGGATTGATACTTTGGCACGCGGCAGCCGTGCTGCTACGGGCGAAGGCGTAACTAGGATACGCATTGACCCGTACATCCATTAATCATGCCACCTTACAAACTCGCATACAGAGCCGCAAGCATGAGGTAGTCAGGACGGAGGCCTTGAGTTATAGCTAGGCAGCACGTACAGGAAGTGCTGTAGGTGAGTGCGCTCCACGTTGAATTTCCATGTCTCACGTCGTAGGAAGATAGCAGAACCGAATATTTTAGTCCCGCCTACCAGTCGTATTACATGGTTATCATGAAACAGTCCCTGTGTCCAGCTATCGTAACGAGTAAACGTAGTAAAATTCCCGTCATCTATTGAGTTTTTGAATCACGTCTTTCGCTAGGTTATCATCCATCCCGCAGCGCTTCGTGAGGACCCCAAGAACGTCTGACTTGCTCGGACGTCCCGTCAACAGGTCTTTCAACTTTCCGATGAACCTGGCAAGCCACCCATCTCCTCCATTCCAGTCCACCACCGTATCCTCATGCCGTGTGATCAAGTCCTTCACTTCCCTTTTGGATGCTTCGTACTTCTGCTTGTATTTTGGGTCCAGGTTGGCTGCCGCAGTGATACAAGCATGGTCAACACACTTGACTGCATGGCGGTCGAACGATTCCTTGTTTCGCGTGTACCAATGATCCATGGGATCCTCCCTCTCCAGGTGAGTAACGATGAGCACGACTGGTATCTTCTCCTCGAAGAAAAATTCATAGAATAGCCTATAGTTGGTGACGAACGTCGGTGGTATTCTGCCTGCCTTGATGCAATACAACAGCAGATGGACTCCTCCATTATCCCTCAGCTCCTTCATCAACTTATCAGCATTGGTGACTGCATCGAGAAATCCGCTAGGATCCATGCGATTGCCGTCGACCCCGGCAGTGTCATAGATGCGATACGGCACGTCCCTGATGTGGATATCATACGCTTGATAGCGCAATGTACAATGTTTGGTGTCCGGAGAGGTTCTAGCGACCTGGCTGCCTGCGAGGAGATTGATGATGGAGCTTTTCCCGACGCCACTCTCTCCAAAAATAACAATGTTTCTGGAAGACATTGCCAATGGACCTAGCACAGCGGTTGTTCAATACTGGGTTTCTAGCGAAAGGGGCATGACGGTGCGCTCACGATTATAGCAAGTTTGTTTCTTCTGGCTGGGTGGACAATCTTTGATGAGAGCGATGATTCAATGGATTCTGATACTTATGCCACTGCATGCATGACACGGTGCACAACGAAGGTTACGACCTGCAATGCGAACATGAGGTTGGATATTGACTACCTTTTTCGTTGAACCCAGAACCCAACTTTGCCAGTTGCAACGTGCATGTAACGTTGTGCAGCGCTCATTACGGAGTGGAATTCGATATTTTTTCCTAGACAGGTTAGAATTCGAACCGTACACCCTCCAATGATCCGAGTTGGCCCGGATATGTTGACCCTACCTCCCCCAAAGTTATATGGTCTGTACCACTACCTGACACGCTAAGATTGTGCTATTTGTTGTCAGTAGGTCGGTGGACCGCGGCAGCGTTTTGGACGTCGTCGAGGCTCAGGCAACCATTTTGAAGTTTCGATAGGTCATTAATTTAGACAGCACGTGCTGACCTTGCATCCACCTTCTGCTTCGGAAGTCATCCGGAAGCCTGGCCGAACCGTCATTTTGGCAGCACTCGAATGCGTTGCCTCCCACCCTAATGATGCAAAAGCATCACCTGTCATGCAAGTACTTTGACAGTGGTCGGAGGCTGTGTTACGATACATGAATGTGCGAGGACAAGGCTCGTGCATTTGCCATTGATAAACAGAGAATTTTAGTGGCAGATAAGAATAGTAACGGAAATTAATTCTCTGTGCGTGTCTATGACATTATTCTGCTGCTCGAGCGCTCAAACCTTACGTCTCAGGCCTACTACACGTGGTATCGAGTCTACTGCAACAGACATCTGATTGGTGCATCAGAATTGCTGTATGTACTTGAGGCAACTTGCGAACCCTTGTCCACTCTTCTACATATCTACTTCCTTACCGAGACACTCTGTCTGCAACGTAGCCATTCAAGCATGAACGGTCTTGTGCCTGGAGAGCTTGAGTTTTCTCTAAGGTGCCCTATTTGAAATTTTGGCAAATGTGCCTTGGCTCATCATATTTTGCAGCGGTACCGCTACTGACTTCACATCTCAACTTTCTGATCCTGAGATACTTGGAACTCCAATTGGATTTGGGTCCTTTAGTGAGGTTTTTGGGTGTATTGTCAAAACAAGTAATGGCGAAGAGAAGGTCTGTCCGAGTCAGATCAACCCAAGCACATCAATCGTCCATCTAATGACCATCATCAGGTCGCAGTGAAGGTATTCAAGATCGATCCTTCGAGAGATACGGGAAAAATTCAAAATGTCAGTCGTCTGGGTTCAATTTTTACTTCGCTGAATGGTCTATATAGGCAATACGTCGAGAACTCAAAGTGTGGCTTAGACTGAAAAACACGACCATCGTTCCCCTACTGGGCTTCGCATGCGTCGAATACAAATCCAAGTTCCCAGCTCTCGTCTCCCAATGGATGCCATTTGGAACGTTATTCGTCTACCTCACAAAAGCTACCATCACTGCTTTTGCTAAAGTTGCATTGGTGAGTTCTTTTCTCAACATTACTATCAATTATATCCAACAAGAATTCATGCTACTAGGTCAAGGGTGTTGCCTCTGGCCTTGATTACCGTTTGTCGATTTCCACCATGTCTTCCATTTCGTTCTTGACGCCTACCCAGTCCAATCAGTGGATGTTGTTCACGGAGACCTTCACCCTGTATGTACGGCCGTCTCTTTGCGGATGCTACACTCATTCTTAGGTTTCAGGGAAATGTACTCATAGATGGTTCAGGGAATCCATGCCTAACTGATTTCGGTCTTGCAACAATCGAAGGAGAAGTGGATATGCAGTTGACGTCAACCACCGTCCAACGCAGTTTCGATTCTCGATGGCGGGCGCCCGAAGTCCTTGGAGTGGAATCGGAATGTAATCCTCAAAAACCGACTTTCATGAGTGATATTTACTCTTTTGGTGGTGTCATGTTCTTTGTACGATTTCTCTGTTTTTGCAGCTCTGTCCTAATTTTTCTCATCTCGGATTGTCTCGGGGGATATACCGTGGAAAGAGAAGAAACATGTTCAAATCTGTGTCGCGCTATCGAATAAAGTCATACGTGCACGTCCCGAAAACATCCTCGATGACCACTGGAACTTGATCCAGAAATGCTGGTCATGGGAAGCCAGTCATCGCCCGAGGGTCACAAAAGTTCTTCAATATATCGATCAGTTTAGGACCGACAACTGGCAGGGTCAACAACCTAAGGTTCCCACTGGTCAAGGGCTGGTGGACCTGACGGGTCAGATCGTTGGTACAAATGCCGAATTTGTTGATTTTGGAATGGTTTTCAAATGTAAATGGAGACGACCGACAGGTCCTATGAAGGTCTGGACAGTGTTAGCACACAATAGTGATATATTTACTGATTATTGTGCTGTAGGTTGCAGTAAAAGTCTCCAGGCATCATCACATTGGTCGCGCCCCAGAGCAGGACTTAAGGGTAAGGATTTATGTTTCTTCTGTTTTGCACACTAATTTATGTGGATTCGCTAGAGGTTTCGACGAGAAACTGCAATATGGGCCCACCTCGTCCACGACAATATCGTCACATTGTATGGAACGACAGAGGGATTCGGACCAACCACAGCCCTTGTCTCCCAATGGTTTCCGGACGGCACGCTGTCCCTTCTGATCATAGAACAGGGTACTACATTAACCATCGAGTCCAAATTGAAGCTGGTAACTTGAACCTGTTAAACTGCGATGAACCCAAACTGAATTATCCTTATTCACTAGCTCCACGGCATAGCATCTGGGCTCCACTATCGTTTGTATTCCCTTCACAGTCGTCTTGTTTCAACTGATAAATTTGCCATCAGTTCACTCTTTTCCTGTTGTTTATGGTGTCATCACGAGCGTGAGCTCATCCTCTCTACATTCATAATGATTCATTTACACACACTAAAAAATGCAGTCCAATGTTTCGGTATATCTCAAACAAGGGGGATACAAGGCTTACCTAACATAATTCGGTTTTTCAAATGTCCTCTGCGGACATTCAAAGAAGTGCCAAATTCAAGAATCGATTGTTCGGCCTGGTGCAATCAGGTGGGCTGCGCCTGAGTTGTTCAGGTCACGTGATTCCCCTTCCGACAAACCGACCACGCAGAACGACATGTATTCCGTTGGTCGTGTCATGTTCTATGTAAGTGTAAGTGTTTTTAGATCCATAAAATCTATATTTAATGTATCATTCATCCCAGTTGTTGACTCTGATTGTTCCTTGGCATAACATTGACGAGTACGAAGTCCTTCAAAAAATCCAAAATGGAGAGGATGTCTCGCGTCCTGAGATATTCGAGGCGATGTCTGACGTAACAGACGCCCGCTGGAACTATATCGAGCAGTGTTGGTCAATTGACCCATCCGCTCGTCCATGTGCCCTTACGAGTATGAACTTCGTAACGGGGGAGCTAGAAACCTTGAAACAAGATGTACGTTCATGACCTGTCTCATCACGTGGGAGTAGAGTTTCTGACTTGACATGATAATCTATTTAGGTAGATACTATGCAAACTGTGGATGCTATGCAAGCCGCGGATGTCATGCAAGCCGTATATGATGGACTTCCGCCAGACTTTTTCAACGTGACAGATGGTGCTATGCTAATGTGGATCATTATCGTTTTTAATCGGTTCCTGTTCTGACCTCTTGATCTCAGTCCTCCAGAACGTACGGCAACTATTACCCCTCCCCTCCCCCTTCCCGCCGTCCTCGCTCTCTCGCACCCTCTTCCGGGAGTGCCAGTGTACTATTAGGTCAACTTTCGTCCACGTTCCGCCGCTCTCACCGGGCCGACACTAATAACTCAACTGAACTCCAGCGACGCCAAAGGCGGTCAATCTTATTTCGTGGTCCCCGTATTGTCGAAGTGGCTGCAGTAAGGGAGAGAGAGGTATTTATGTCTTCGCGTGCGTTTCCCATTGGCGTGGGTTAATAATTTCTATCCAGGTTACATTCACTGCTCCACTACTTCACCACCGCCAGAAAGAACACAGCAGCAAAACCGATCTCACGCCCAGGGATCCACTACGCCTTCTGCTCCCGCAACTAACTAGTACTACCTCGTCAGGTGCAGCGACCGCGCAGTCACGATCTCTCCCACTGCGAGTTCGCTTTGTGTTGTTTCTTTGTTGTGCGTCTCCCCCAACCGCTGATGGTCATTAATACAGGTACATATACTTCTAGTTCTTTTTTGTGACCAATTTTTGTCCATTGAGAGTAAGACTCTATGTAGGAAGTAAACTAGCGTGTGGTAGTACTGGCTAAGATGTCCAATAACGCATGCTCTAGTTCTTCTATATTCTTTAGTGTCTCTTTCGTATCATTTCGTACGTAACGACTTACATTGAGCTTGTTTCCTTGTCATAAGACTCATGCAATGTATTGAACTCAACAATGCCAGCCGTTGCTGTTGGAGTTAGAGAACGACGCTGTATTGAGTGTCTGCGACATGGCGGGAGACAAAGACTCGGAGAGGATGGTCTACAACGTACATGGGTATATATTATACGTAGTTGGGAATATCCGAACATTGAACGATGACGAAGGGTGAATACTAACAGTTGCGAGGAACATTCTAAGATCAACTAAGAGGATGAAGGCCATGACTGAGGAGAATCATTAATCATTGTCCGTTGATAGTGGCATGAGCAATAGATGTACAATTACAAAACTTTAACTTAAGAACAACCATAACGAAAGGGCATAATGTTCTTTCACTACATATAATACGGAGCACATAGATTCCATATTCATGACAGCTAGGCACAGATGAAGGTTGCGATTTGAACTACAATGCGCGGGCCATTAGGTCATGGTAAGAACGTTTGTAAAGACCATCAAACTTGATGACGATTACTTCCTAGTACTAATATATCACCAACCTCAAAGCGTTGGGCTTTCGTTCGAAATTCGCGAACATACGGCCTTCGAGGAAAAGTAGGCGCCCATTTCTGAAGAGCCGGTGCACGATTCGTGTGCCAACGAGACAGTAGTAACAGGCGCTGCAGTCTCGACGGTGCTGTTACAAGCGGCTCGTGGTTTCTTGACGATTAGTAATTCCTCGATGCCCAATTGGGCGCGAGGGTCAATTCCTCTGGTACGTACAACCATATTGTGGTTTATGTTATCCAAGAGCGAATCGATTCGGTCTATACAAATGGTGAGAATGAAATCAAACGCAATAACGATCTATGCTCGCCGTCTATGTCAGTAGGGAATGCGGACCTGCGGCGTCTGATCCAGATAAGCAATTTGCAGTACGCCGCCTTGTAAGGCACATGTTCCTCTGGACAAATCATGAGCAGGGACACACCCATTTTCTCTCTTAGAGTCTGGCGCGCCACCTTGATTACCAAGAGCATCAGTGAGAGCGTTTTCCAGAATTGAAATTATATTTACCTCTGTCAGAGCGATGATCTGCATGAACATACCATCATCAGTTGACTATAAGAGATGATTAATAACAAATCAAGACCTTTTCCCCGTAGGACTGCAATTCGCAGTCTTCCGAGTGATCAAATCCCATTATTTCGTCCGTAGCATACAGAAAATTGTCTAGAGTGCTCAGACGTTTAGCCAAACTTTTGAAGACTGCTCGACGATCGAGTTTACGGATGTTGTTAGACATGAGGATTCACAGTACAAAGTAGATGTGAGTATATGGAGAGATGGAATGAGATGGGAGGAAGAGAAACGCTGCCAGCACGAAATATATAGTGCTTGGATCCTTGGGACCACAGATTTTAGAGGCGCTTGCCACCCGTCATGTAACCACATAAAAAGAACAAACATAAATATCACCGCATGGCGCCGCTACGGTACATTCCATGAACTCTGCTAGTGAAGGGTCTTTGTGGTGTGATGATTGTCCTTTGTTTACTTCACCACGTCGTCGTAGCAGTTACTAAAATGGGAAACACAAGATGTGGACTAGGGCTCCGTGAAAAACTACCCACGGAGTTAACGACGAGTTTTTAACTCACCCCCACCCTCGAGGGGTTTTTGACACGAGTTAAAAACTAGTTTTTGACCAGTTTTTGACAGACTCAAAAAATGCGTTTTTTCAGGTCATTTTGACATTTTTCGCTACGGTAATGCAAATGCCCACTGTACAGGCCCTCCCGGAGGCGTTGGAACTGTGCTATCCTGTAGTTGAGGTGTCCTGCTTGCCCCTTCCACCGGCTTCTCTGATAGTAAGTCCAACAATCGAGGAGCATCAAGATGAGCATCCTCGCTACCCACAAGTACTCTCGTATCACAAGACCAGTACATTGGATCACGCTCAATCTCCGGGTCCTCGCTCTCCTCCAACCAATTGTCCTCCGAGTCTGAATTAGAGTCCTCAGTCCTGCGGCTCCGGGTTAGCCTCTGCTTGCGACTTGGAGTTGTCGTGTTTCCTTTTCTGACCGTTGCTATCGAGATTGACATCGAAAAGAGTACTTTCCAGGTCACGAAACTTAACTGTTGGTTTTGAGGGAGGCCTTTTGGTCTACGGGACAGGACAGTGAGAAGGCGGAGGAAGAAAAGGTGGGACAGCATGAACACGTTCAGGATCCATCAAAGCCCACTGCCAAACTTGAACCTGACTGACAATGGTAGAACTTTTGAGGGAGCTGCGTAATGCGGAGTTCAACCAATTCATCGTTGACGCTGTACGCTCGTCCGCCATCGAATTGACAGTGACATCGAAAATCTTCACTGCGACGTGCTGCGAATGCGAGTTGTGAGTAGTTGACAGATCGTCGGTCATATCTTAACGATTTTTCGGTGATTTCGGATGTTCGGATGGAGAATTCGATAGGCTATGTTCCCGAGATCATATACATATATATTTTAGTTTTTGACACCCCAATATCAACCCCGAGTTATCGACTCGTTAAAAACATGTTAAAAACCTGTCAAAAACTCCAACGTCAAAAACTCGGTAGTTTTTCACGGAGCCCTAATGTGGACGGTCAAGGAACAGCGGCGTGTGCATCTGGCAACGGAGAGTATTTACCGTGACCAAGGTGCATATGGCCTACTTTTGGGGGTTCCTGAAACAAAGGTTCTATGGACATATGCCACTCAAACCAAGAGACTTTGCAAAGCAATTCTATAAAAACGTGAGCCAATAACGCTGAAACCAGGACAGCAAAACCCACTAAACAACTTGAATCCAATAGGTGAGTGAATTCCAATGAAACCTCCACCAACGTTATTCGGATACTTGACCTCCGAATGAGCAACTGTTTCTGTGTGCATCTCCTCAAGTGTCATTCGAGTTGGTGGGATCGGGATTTCACGGCGTACCAATCGAGCGACGCGCCTTTGTCAAATATTCTATCCCGGAGGAGGCCCTTGAACCTGTACCACTACCATGGCGGTTTTTTCCCACGCAAACTTTGCGGGCAAGGTCGAGTGAACAACGCTCACAGCTACCAGCTAGCCTCATAATAATGATAAAACAATGCATCCTCTACCCACCTGACCATAGTAATCCCATAATGGACCATACCAACCGCAACCTCAAAGCCCTAGATGACCCCAGCAACAACAACGATACCGGCCCACCTCATAAACACTATGCTCGACCTCCCCCATACCAAACATAACACCAACCTGACTGTTAGCACACACTAAGACCCCTCCCTGGCCTGACACGCCTCCAGGAAATGAACCCTCGAACCACAGCCCACCCAGAGAGATAAATACATAAAAAACCAAACGACGCACGTAACCCCTACATAGGTCACCCAAAACACGACCGCGCGTAATCGCCAATAAAATACCCGCCCACGTAAACTGGTAGATGTCTACCCCGCGTACAAACTCATGAATGCCACACTTACACTAAAAATGTCAATGCCCAGTGTCAAATAAACCAAATACGTCCACCCGGTCACACTGCCTGACACTAACTCCTGATAAAAATGTGCATACAAGACTAATACACCACAGAATCCCTGAACACGCATACCTACACGCCCCCGGCCATGGCCATGAACCCCGAACATACACTGCGAGCCGAACACCTCCCCACCTCATGTTTCCCTATACTGTAATACTTAAATACCAGACGGTAACAGATCGTATCCTTGTCCAGCAGCATGAAAGACACTCATCCCACCTCCATCAGATCCTCCACCCAAGCCTCCCGCCCCTACCCAGGCACCCCACGCCCTAACCCTTCCACCCCCCGCGCTGGACCAAGGTTCTTCCCACAGAACGTTCTACAAGACGACGAAGACATGGGGACAGACGCCCCACCGTACGACACTTCCCCCCTGTCCCCACACCTCTCATCACTCTCCCCACTGTCCACTCCCACCCCACACCCAAGGGCGTCGCCTGACCAACCCCTACCAGATGACCTGCTCCTTTCCCCAGAGGAGCAACACAACGCCGACTCCCCACCCAGCGGCTTGACACAGGCGTCTGACAGCGGCCTCGCAGAATCCATCCATGCCCCAAACGATGATGGAGGGGACCACCAAATGAGCACCTCAGCCCTGCCTCACACCCTGAGTGCGGAGGAACAAAACATCCTCACTCACCTTGCACTTGCGGGACAAAACTGTGCAGCAGTCCAGAACGACGGTCCACACCACGTCACGGACCTCCCTCAGTTCACACCCACCCCACTGGGCGGTTTCCCCCAAACCCACCTGGCACACTCCGCCCAAGTCTTCGACCACCTAGATAACAAGGTGCTCTTAGCTTGGTTCCAAGTGGAACACCCTAAATTCGTGGTCCGCGTCTTCGACCAAACCGGAAAAGATGTGCTTGACAAAGCAGCCATCCTCGCAGAACGAATCAGGGCGAACATCTCCATTGTTGCCAACTTCATACACCAAGAGGCGCAACCAGTGAGGGTGTCACCCCCGCAACCACAAGGCAGCAAATACCTCCCCCTCAGCTTCCTCGTATATAATATCTCTCCTGAAACAAGGGACCTCATCCTATCCCAGCGTGTATGGTCCGCAACAGATATCACCTTCGAAGCACGCCCGCCTGACCTCCTCTTCTGTGTCACGGGCTTTACATCGCCTGACACAGACATCGTCCAGAAGACAATCGCGGATGTCTGGGCATACGAAGACAACCGAGCCCACATCAACGATATCCTGTCCATGAGTGAAATCCCGGAGGAAAAAGTACACATTGCTACCTGGAACCTGATCAGGTCTATCCGCGTCGAACACCTAGACTTCAAAATAGCAGGTGGCCTCCCTGTCCCTCGCTTTAACATCTTCGCGCATAGCCCAACCTGCGATGCGAAGGCATGGACAGAGCTCTGCTCCTACCTCCGCATCCTAGATTACCCGACTGGCTTAGACGGCTGTGGCACAGCTGTTGCCCTGACACAATGCCCTATATGCCACTCTATTGCACACCCCAGAGGCCTATGCCCTTTCCCCTTCGTAACCCAATGGAACGGCCCCAAAATCAATGTCAAACTCCCGTCGCAATCCTCCAGACAGCCAGGAAATGGTAGAGGCTGCGGGCGCCGCTATAACTAGATGGACAATCCATAACGCTATCTCAATCTCTTACTGCGCTATAACATTTCACACTCCCCACTCAGATCCTATATGTCTCACTGTATATACATGCCCTTTCCTGCTACACACTAAAGTCAGTAGACTACCACGCTCACAACGCAATCACAATCCCTTCGTATCCCCACCTGACCCCACACCTAAGTATATGAATCCCAAACCTAACGCGATGTGAGCTCGTCCCTGACAAAGACTCACAAAATGCACACCTAGATCCACGAGGCGGGATCTACGGACCCCCCACCCACGGCCCAGATATACTGATTGCAGCCGCAAGACAGGAAAGCCTTTGGGAGCCTCAATGGCGCAAGCCAAAAACGGAGGCCTATTTAGGCCAAGGATTAGCCGTGCTGAGAAGCTGAAGTGACCGCACGAAAATTGGCGAAGACAGGACTCGCCTTTCAGAATGCGCAAACATGTATCCACTGTGGCTGCCCGGGATATGACAGCCCTTACCCCCCTGATGGTCGTTCAGGAGGTGCAGTAAGTCGACCACTCAACAATCCCAAATGAATAATACTTCCTACGGTTTTTTTCCCGGCCATGGTTTGAGCCTTCTGAGCAGCAGAGGGGGAAGCCCTCAGACCGCTGGGGCTACCCCAGAGGACGCTGCACAGGAGTTTGGAGGCGGAGCCCCACAAACGCCACACCAGGCAAACGAACCCCAGAGCGAAACCACTCGCCCCCGAAAGACAAAGAAAACAAGAGCAAACATTCTCCTTGCGTCCCTCAACATGAGAGGACGCACATCACCGCAGTTAGGAAACAGCGAGATCTCCAAATGGGCAGCTGTCTCACAAGTAGTGAAAGAAAACAAGATCGGTATACTATGCGTCCAAGAAACGCACCTCACAGCCGAACATGAGTCCCAAATAGACAGCATATACTCCCGACGCATCAAAATCATCAACTCCAGAGACCCGCACCGCCCAGGAAGCTCCGCAGGGATCGCCTTCATCCTAAACAGAGAGATAGCCAATACTGTAGACTTAGAGACCATCAAAATAATACCAGGCAGAGCCATGGTCCTGAAAACGAAATGGCACAACCAGGAGAACCTGTTAATACTAAACATCTACACCCCAAACAACCACGCGCAACACCCCGAATTCTGGGGCAAAATATCACAAACATGGTATGAGAAAAACTTACCGAGCCCAGATTTCATGATGGGAGACTTCAATATAACAGAAGATATCCTAGACCGAGCCCCAGCACGACCAGACAACGACAATGCCACTGAAGCTCTACGAGACCTGCGGCACCAACTGAACGTCCAAGACACTTGGAGACTGAACAACCCAACGTCAAGACTCTTCACATATAATAGCAATACAAACTCACTATCAAGGCTCGACCGCATATATACGGCACCCTCACATGAGCGCAACACACACAACTGGGAATCATGTACATCAGTGATCCCATTGGACCATCGAATGGTCTCAGTAAGACACGCACCTGTAAATGCTCCTTATATCGGGAAAGGACGATGGACTTGGCCCACCAGTTTACTGCACGACAAAAAACTTATCAAAACAATCAGTACCCTCGGCAAATTAACACAACAAAAGATCCTCTACCCCCAATATCCAAGGCATGAAACAGAAAACCCCCAATACTTCTGGGAGTCGTTCAAGAACCAAATAAGCCAAGAAGCGAGGAAAGCTGCGAAAGAGCACCTAAACAAAATAAGATCCCATATTGAACGACTCGAAAGCGACCTAGAAAAAACGTTAAAAAAGGACGACATCGACACAAATGAAGACACCAGGAGACACAAAGCCTGGATCGAGTGCGAGATAAACCACCTAGAAAATAAAAAATTCAGACACAAACAGTTAAAATCTCAGGCGAAATGGGCCGCAACAGGCGAAACTATGAGTAAATACTGGTCAAAGATAAACAGCAGCAAAAAGCCTAGAGATATAATAGAAAGACTAAGAGACCCAGCCTCAAACAGACTCTGCGCCCGTTCGGACAAAATGGCCGAAATCGCGCGCAACCACCATGAGAATATCCAAAACGATAATCTAGAACAACACATGGAAGAACAGCACGAGGAAACAAAAAAAGAAATAATGAAAGAAATCCCACAAAAACAAAAACTAAACAACAATAACTCACCCCTTCACGGTCTCCTACAAGAACATCACATACAGGAAGCTCTATACACTTCGAAAGCGGGGAGTGCAGCAGGCATAGATGGGATACCATATGAGGTATGGAAGACACTGCATGAAAAACACCTTAGTGACCAAAAAGAAGAAGAGTCCAGTTTCAACATTATTAAGACACTCACTTTCGTAATAAACAACATCCAGCGACATGGTGTTGACGAAGGGACAAATTTTACCCTGGGCTGGATGTGCCTGATCTATAAAAAGAAAGAACGCACTGAAATAGAAAATTACCGGCCGATAACGCTACTAAACACCGACTATAAACTACTCACCAAGGCACTAGCAATGCAGTTAGCACGGGAATCCCACTCACTAATTCACCCCGACCAAAGTGGCTTTATCCCCCAACGTTCCATTTTCGACCCAATAAGACTGGCCCGAATGATGATTGACTATGCTGACATCACCGAGGAGAATGGTGCTCTAATAGCCCTGGATCAGGAAAAGGCATACGACAAAATAAAACATGACTACCTCTTCGATACACTAGAGACCTTCAAATTACCACAAATCTTCATAAACACTGTCAAAGCCCTCTATGAAAACACCTACACGAGAGTGGCGATAAACGGTGTGTTGAGCACCCCTTTCAAAGTATCCAGAGGGGTCCGACAAGGAGACCCCCTCTCCTGCCTCCTGTTCGACCTAGCCATTGAGCCATTAGCATGTACCTTAAGGAACTCCAAAAAACTAAACAGATACCACATACCAGGAATCACAGATAGAATCATAGTGAACCTCTACGCAGACGATACCACCATCTTCCTGAATGAAACAGACAGCTATGGCGACCTCGAGGACATCCTGTCAAAATGGTGTTCAGTGTCCAGTGCAAAGTTTAACCTAGAAAAAACAGAAATAGTTCCAATCAGAACAAAGACCCACCGAGACCAAGTTATATCAACTAGGAAACTAAACGTACAAGACACCCCCCTAGACCCCACCATCAAAATTGCCCTTGATGGACACCCCATCAGGTCACTGGGTGCATGGATCGGTAATAAAACAAATAACGCGACACCATGGGAGCCCATACTAGAAAAAGTTGCCTCCTCACTCAAAAGATGGAAAGCCGGACACCCTACCTTAGATGGAAAAAGACTGATCATCCAGATGGTTGTCGGCGGCATGACACAATTCCTAACGAAAGCTCAAGGAATGCCGAAGAACATAGAACAGGCACTCACCAAAATGACACGGAAATTCCTATGGGACGACACAAAGTCCCCACCCATCAGCTTAGAACAGCTATACCGCCCGAAAGAAGAGGGCGGTATCAACCTACTTGACATCAGAACAAGGAACGAAGCCATAGAAATTACCTGGGTAAAAGCCTACCTAGACCTGTCCCCATCCAGACCAACATGGGCGTCAATAATGGACCTAGTCCTACACAACATAAGTCCGAACGGGAAACCTATAAAAAATGTTAACCCTTTCCTGACCTCCTGGACCCCCCCCCCCCCACGAGAGGAAAAAAGACGAGCTCACTACCCCAAGAAGCCCGAGTACTCCTGAAGACCATCAAACAATTCAACATCAGCTTCGCCCCAATCAAAATCTCAAAAGAACTCAAAAAGAGCCTCCCGGCATGGTACCACCTAGGCGCACCTAGGCGCACCTACAATAAAGTCAAAAACAGATGCTCAAATGAAACGCATAGATCAGAAAACATCAAACACCTGATCAAAGTTAGCAAACGCCTGAGACGCACCAATACAGACAACCAGCACTTCCCCACTAAAAACCGCAACTGCTCCTCCTGTAACAGAGACCGGAATAAGGGGTGCACTAACCCACAAAACTGCGCACGTACAGCCAACATAATCCTGCACCGGATCGCCCCAAAATTCAACACAAAATCAAAACCAAAGAAAGACGGGCTCTCACTCACCCACCGGTGGAAAGAAAAGAATCAACAAGCCCACGAACAATGTCATGGAGAAATCCTATTTGACCCAACCACCACTGTAAGGTCATGTATCTCCGACTGTTTCAGAATCTTCACCGACCCTAACCGCACCTCACTCACCCCAGCCCACCGACTGCATACCCCGACGAGAGGACTCAACCTCCTCAACGAAAGACTGACGATATATACCGATGGATCCTGCCTAGAAAACGGGAAACGTGACGCAAGATGCGGCAGTGGCATCTGGATAGCAGAAGACCATCCCAAAAACCGCGCAGCCCGAATCCCCGGAGAAGAACAATCTAACCAAGTCGCAGAATTATCAGCAATCCTCATAGCCCTACAAAACACTGACCCATACGTACCAATCACCTTCGTAACAGATTCTAAATACGCCATAGATGGCCTAACCAAACACCTAACGAGATGGGAAGACGCTGGGTGGATAGGTATAGCAAACAGTAAATACATCAAAGCAACAGCATACCATTTACGAAGACGCTCGGCACAAACCTCCTTCATATGGGTGAAGGGACACAGCGGCCAGATTGGAAATGAACGGGCAGACCAACTCGCGAGAGAGGGAGCTGACAAACAGACCACCGACCCCATAGACCTATCGGTCCCCAATGAGTTTAATCTACAAGGAGCGAAATTATCAGCCATCACACAAGCCCTAGCGTACAAAGGTATAAGAGAATGAAAGGACTCAACACAAAGGCACAAAACGGCAATAAACCTCGAAATAACCAGACACGCCATCAAAGAGTTGACAGGGCACCTTGAAAACGACATGAACATCTGGAATGGATGCCAGAACAAAGACCTGAATAAAAAAGTGAGATAATTCCTATTCAAAGCGATGCACGGCGCTTACAGAATCGGCAACTATTGGCTACATATCCCCACATATGAACAACGTGCCAGATGTACACACTGCAACATCGACACGGAGTCAATGGAGCACATACTTTTAGAATGTAACAATAACGCACGTACAACAATATGGTCCCTAGCGAAGGAGATGTGGCCCGAAAGCTTCGGCGCTTGGCCCCATATTGGCATCGGCACAATCCTTGGATGCGGAAACATTAGCGCACGACCACCAACACCGAACGACGATGAGCAAACAAACCCAGAAAGTAGACCCTTCACGAAAGGGGCCTTGAGGCTGCTGAGAATACTAATATCAGAGTCAGCATACCTAATCTGGATACTGCGATGCGACAGAACAATAAATGGTGCCTCACCTACGGCGCAAGCGATAACGAAACGCTGGACAACAACAATAAACAAACGACTGCAAATAGATAGAATCACAGCGAAGAAAATAGACCGTACACCATCCTTTGAAAAATTGGTGACCGCCACGTGGAAAAAAGTAATAACATCCGACAAACCAATACCAAAGAACTGGGCCACCGCCCTCGAGGTTTTAGTGGGTATCAAACCACCCAGGCCCTCTGCGAACGAGGCCCCCAGGTAGTCCAAGAGTCCCACACACCCCATGAAAATGGGAGTGCGTAAGTGCATTTTCCCTCGGACCGGAGTTCCCCGAACCCCGCTATAGCGCATTTTTGTAGAGCTAGACTTTCGTCGGTTGCTGCAATTATATATCGCTTGTCCAAAAAAAAAAATATTCTATCCCAAGTGACATCGACTTGTAGCAAACTTGAAAGAGGGCCATCTACGTTTGAAAGTTCCAGTCTTTTCTCTGTGGAACAGGTTACAGTACAACAGTTCTTTCGAAAATCAGGTGCTGTCACAGTGAAAGATACTCTCAACTGAACATGAAGAAGGTATAGTGGCCAGTCCTCAGCTCGAAATCGAATGTGATACAGTGGTTTATATTAGGGAGAATCCATAAATCTTGCTGGATCCCTCTTGACCCCAAGAATTTTGCAGTGCATATTTGAATGAGGGCTATTATACTAGTAATGGTTATCACCTGTGACTCCCACATAACGGCTGTAGTTACAGGTGATAATAAATGGGGTTCGCACCTCTAACACGAGGCAAATACAGTCAATCAGCACCTCCTGCAATATCTCTCCAATAGCGAGGGACTTTTACACAGTGCTGTAGGATCCACAGGCTCATACCAGGACTGGGTGCCGCCGGCATAACGGCAAATGCCGTGACATGTTGCTGACATTGTTTAAGGTCCGAGCTCGCTGTGCGACACGATGAGCTCCCACATCTCGATATCTCGCGCCCAGATGAATGTATTGACGACGGGTTTCGACGGCCCGTGCACAGGCAATGACTAAGATGCGCGACTGAGTTGTATTGGTATGTAGACTAGACTAAGGTAATATAAACTACTACTACTCGTCGTCACCCCCTTCATCAGACGACTGGACAAACTCAGCACTTTTTGGACCTCGAGGAAGCTGGGCAGAATTCCTTTTTGCTCTTTTCAACGTCCATTGGTTCTCCTTACTAGGACCTGTGCTAGTTGCAGCTTTACGTTTCCGAGGTACCCCAGCGTCCGAACGCTTTTTTCGCGGCTTGCGAACGACATCTCCAGCTGAACAGCGCGCTTCGAGTTCGGCAGTGTGAGCTTTGATTTCCGCCGGTGAGAGAACAGTCCAGTAGCACGTTCGCGCCTTCAGTGCATCTCGCAGCTTGCGAATGTCGCCCACAGTCCCGATGTTCGAGGGGCTAATGAAATTAACACCGTGGGGCCACCCCACCAGGCGTACCCCGTATGTCTCGACGATGGCTGTTTCATAGTTATGGTAATTCATGCCAATATCTTTTTTTCCGGTCACCTCGACTACGAACGACGTTAATCGAGGACAGCACGTACAAAACAAGATCTCACTCACCAAGACCACGGATAATCATTTTACGTACCTGCTTCCATACCATTTCCAAAGAGTCCCGTTCGTTAAGATCTGCAGGATATTGAATAGGCTGGTAGTATACAAAAATGTGAAATGCGCACTTTGATTCTGGGTGCACGCCCATTGCTCATATTGCCTGAGGAAATCAGCCATAGGATGCTCGTATACGTCCTCCCAGAAGTCTTCTGAGTTATCGGTCCCATGCATCGCACTTTGAACTGTGTCGTTAATGTGACCGCGAACGACAAATAATGTTGCATAGACGCCAGTCCGAACTCGCAGGTCGTCCAGCTTTGAAAGAGTAAAGTATGAGTTAGTTCATTGTAGTCCAGGTTCGGGCAAACTCACCTCTTTGACAATCCTATCCGTCGTAGCTACAACATCACGTGCAGCTGCTATATTGTTCGACCGAACACCAACCAACTTTTTTTCACGATGCTCGTCGAGTGCTGAAATATAGGCGGCCTCTTGTTCCCTCGTCAAGTCTTTCATCTTGGGGTCACTTGCGACCATTTCGCGGAGCTCCGCCAATGAATATCGAGACCCTACAGGTAGGTCTAATTGACATGATATAAGCTTTGCGGTACCATCAAACAAACATATTTTACGTACCTGCATTCATCTCCTTTGACTTAGCGTGAACAAGCGCGTTTTTCGCCTGCATCTTGCGAGAATTGCGATAATGTGTCTGACCCCCGATGATGTCGTTGATTGCCTTTGGAGTCACACTATGAGCTCGCGAGAGCGCTTCGATCTTCACTCGTTGTTCCTCCAGGTATTCAGCGACAGCGTTATGTAAGCGCTTCCTTTTCTCCGTCATTTGGTCCCTCTTGATCTTACGAGACGCCTTCTGGGCATCTGTCAGTCGAGGGGGCGGCGTCCGAGGACGGATGGTGGCTCGCGTTGGGTTTCGTGCTGCCCATGTGGACGTGTTTGCTTCGCGTTGGAGTAACTCTGGCACCTCTCGACTGGTGTCCGACACCTCTGACTGGGTGGGACTTACCGGGCCTTGATCATGGATTTCAGAGGGCTTAGGTGAGGGCGTGCGAGCAGGGGAGGTGCTCGCGCCAGCAACATGTGTGGGGGGAGGCAACTCTGGAAGGGGGTGGTTTGTGGCCGCTATGTTGTGAGTGAGAGCTGCAATTTCATCATGGGTAAGCAGCATGGTGTACAACGAGGGATCGTTCCAGTTGATATTGTTAATCAAGGGAATATGACTACCACCTTCACCACTGGGTGGTGTATCTTCACCTCTAGCTAGCAGATCCAAAAACCGGCCGGTTGAGATAAAGTTGCCGTTGGCATCAAAATTGTCAGCTGAATATAGGTAGCTCATATTTGAAACTGTGAGCAGAAACTCTGTAAGTGTAGACGTGAAGTTTAAACCAACAAAAAATGTGCGCTGTAGAAACAACAATACTGTGAGGAACAAATGATGCTCCAGACTGTATCTGTAAATGTTGTGAGGTCGCGCGTTGCCTAGTCTGCTATACTTGAGACGACAAGTGCGTTCGACCCTAAAGGGGAAGCGAGTGCAGCAAGGATCTAGTAGTGCGCGCCGAAGGCGCTACTGGTCGGCTGATGCGAAGCGCGAGAAAGTGCGCAGGTGCGCACAAGGCGCGGGAAAGCGAAGGTACGCGCGAGGCGCGGGAAGCGCGCGCGCGTGAGCGGTAATGAGAGAGAGTAAGAGTGAGTTTGCTTAAGGGGTGATTAGATACTAGACAAGAGATACGAGCGCGAGGTGTCAAAGAATAGATTTCTACTATGTTCTCCTAGGTAGTATGTGGGTGGTAAGTGGGAGGTAAAGTTCTTGTTGGAAAGTAAAGTGTCTAATAATATGTACTGCTGGCGCTTATATGGCGCCTAAGCGCTGTCATGCGGAGCCGAAGCGCTACCGAGTAGGTATGTAAAGATATATGTAAGTAAGGGTCCATGGTAAAAATAGAGGTGGAACGATATGTAAATAAGAGAAATGGGAATATACGCACTAGAGAGCTTGGTGGACAGTGGATGGATGCTTCTGGATGGCTGGCGCTATAGGGCGCTCAAGCGCGGGAAAGCGCGCGCGCGTATACATCGTAAAGCGCGGGAAGTCGTGCGCGCATGCTGCGCATTGCGTGGGAAAGCTGCGCCTCGTAAGGGAATAGCTGTGGATAGCACACAGAGTGATGCTGCAAGTCGTGCTGTGTACTCCCTAGTGGAAAGTGCCATATCACACAATGCGAGGCACGAGTCTCTACAGCGCATTGACATGTGATGGACTCCATGGCAAATAAACGACGCGTGTCGCGTCGCGAAAATCCTATCATTGCCAGCCGGTTTCTGAGAGAAAAGATCCAGTGGAATCAGTGTAAGATCTTGAGGTTGATATTCATTTGAAACCGCGGCTAAGGTCACATGTGCATCTCAGAGGCAGTGCAGATCGGTACTGATCAGACCTACCACAAGCCGAAGGATCTATCGTCCTATGGAGGATGCAGACAGACCTTCCATGAGCCGAAGGGTCTACTGTCCTATGGAGGATGCGGACAGACCTTCCATGAGCCAAAGGGTCTATCGTCCTATGTGGGATGCGGACAGACCTTCCATAAGCCGAAGGGTCTATCGTCCTATGGAGGATGTGGCCAGACCTTCCAAGAACCGAAGGGTCTATCGTCCTATGGAGGATACGGACAGACCTTCCATGAGCTGAAGAGTCTATCGTCCTATGTGGGATGCGGACAGACCTTCCATAAGCCGAAAGGTCTATCGTCCTATAGCAGACGTAGACTCACCTTCCCGGTTGAAATGGAATGCGCCGCACGCCACATAGAGGCAGTGGGTGCCTTCTGGGTTGAAATGGAACGTGCTATGCAGGCAGTGGAGGCAGAGGTATCCTCCTCGGTTGAAATGGAATGCGCCGTGCGCTTGGTGGAGGTAGGATTCTCCTCCCTGGTTGAAATGGAACGCGCCGCGTGCCAAGTAGAGGCAGTGGGTGCCTCCTGGGTTGAAATGGAACGCGCTGTGCGCTCCACCACTCGACTGTTTCACTGAGGTGCCAGGGCCTGGGCTTCCTGCGACATTGAAGGACTGACATGTACTTATACGACGTACTCTGGGGCCAGTGAGAATGGAGGGGAGGGACCAGGAAGATTACCATCTTGCTTGCAGACAATCAGAACTGTTGAGTGTGGTAGTATACTTGGACCTATAACAGTCTACAACGGTTCCCTAATTTAGATGAATTAGTAATCAAGATGACTGCACAAGCGGCAATCCTACAGAATCCTACTCCGTGCCTTTCAATCAGATCTCGCAGCGTTGTCAACCATATTGCCTGGATATCAACCCATATTTTATTGATGATCTTGACCATATACCTAGGGATAACCCCAAGTCATCTCTCCTTCCTATTTTTCGACGACATGGTAAGTTCAAACTCACGTTAAAGGCTGGACTATCTAACATATTTTCCAAGGCTCGCCGAGGCAAGAGCAGATCCTGCAGTCCCGCGTCGAAGCAGCGGATAGCCACAGAGCGCTGGCTTGTGAAGCCAGGGTGAGTTCAACGTCCTTAGTCACTGGTGAACTCTGCTTACCTGCCCTCACTACAGAGTGCGAGAAACTCGAAACGAGAAGGCTCGCATTCGAGCTGCTCGGTGAGTTCATACCTATTTCCTAAGTCTTATGTGCGCTATATAATTCATTTTTAATTCATTTTAGGAATAGGGCAAGGTGAGAATGCCTAACTATAGGAGTGTGCTAAACTCACTAACCGACTTTTGCACAGGAAAAAAAGGGTTCTACCTTGCGAAGCGCATGACACGCCTGTCACTGCTTCAGACCATGAAGACTATGATTCTCAGTATGACGCCACTGAAGCCGTGCTCACCTTGGACCGTAATGATTCCGAGTGTGATGCTACCGAAGCCGTGCTTGCGAATGACGATCTACCTTATCTCACAGACGCCAATCTGCCTTCTCCTCACAACTCTCCCTCGCTGCAAGCGATTGATGAAGAATCGTGTTACGATCGTTCATTCGATCCTGACGAATCTATCCTCACGATGGACAACGATTTATCGTGTGCCTGTGACTCTCCGTCACTGCAAACGCTTGAGATCCTCGTCGGGCAGTGGCGAAAGGAGTGGCTGTCTGAAGAAATCTGGAATGAGGCATACGATGAAGCACTTTGTCGCGCTCTGAGCAAGGGGGAGCACACTATATTTGTTGAGCAGTGTGCACAGCATGCTTCAGAGGGTAGATCACTGCTGGAAAGTATCAAGGACGTCGTGCACACTCATTGCCCGTGTTGCAGGGAACGCCTGAAGTATGATACAATATTACTATATGATTTACTGGTTAGTGTCACATCAGAGGTGAAATTTTTCGAAGTCAAATTAGTTGTAGACACCGTCTGTAACTAGTAGTATACATATTGTGAATGTAGCTCCGAGCATCTCAACATCAGACACAGTGTGAATGCCTAGTCACATAGCGAACTTATAGTGAACTTATAGCGAACTTATAGTGAACTTATGGTGAACTTATAGCGAACTTTCATTCTCGGATGCTCGGGACTGTGAATAACACCCTATAGCAAAAATTTGAAGACGCAGAATGCTTCAGCCACTTGAACATGATATACATTATCAAGCCGAAGCTGGAAAAATGTGTGTTAAGTAGTGTAGAGCATTTATGATGTTTAGGATACTCGTTTGCATAATGTGATGCACTTGCTAATCGGAATACCCCTCTAAGGGCAGCAGCAACAACAACATACTTCTGATCCGTTCCCAATCATGCAGGTTCCTTCTCACTCTCACTTCCCAGTACTGCAGGTTCCTTCTCACTCTCATATGGCCACCACACCTAATATTTATCAGCCGCATCATAACAGTACGAGCCATCTACTCCTGATCTGTTCCCAGTACCGCAGGTTCCTTCTCACTCTCACTTCCCAGTACTGCAAGTTCCTTCTCACTCTCACATGGCCAACACATAATCTTTATCAGCCGCATCACAACAGTATGAGTAAGGCAAATTCAATTTCTTTACTCTAATTATAAGTACCATTCGCAAACTAGACTACATAGATTCAAATTTATATTGACTCATGGTGTCCGACAGGTCTTCTACTTGCGACCACAAGTCATCCGAGTCTATAGACAATGTGGGAGATGTAGGGGGCGGGGGAGATGCTGGGGATACAGGTGAGTTCATAGGCCAGAATGGGCCACCCGGAATCGGAACTGCATGGACGCTGTGTTCGTTATACTTGACGGTGTATGCGTGAAGAGCTTGCTGGAAAGATGGGTATCATTTCTGAATACTCCCACTAACAAAATGTGTTCGTTCCGCAACATCAGCCCTAAGATAAACATTGTGATTATAAGTAAAATATAAGTAAAAGAGAGCGTGTAACACTGACCAACAGTAAAATACATCGACTTCTTGCCCAACGATGATGACCCAGAAGCCCTCAGGCTTGAGCCCAGCTTGTGGTGGGCGGATCTCGTCTGGGGTTGGAGCAAGCGGAACATGGGAGGGGATTGACACTGGATGTGAGGGTGTTTGAGCTGTCGAAGTGGTAGGAAGAGGCACAATCCATCCATCGGGAATGGCATTGTGTGCGGATTGCGGGCACGAGTTTCTTGAGAGTGTGATAGACTCTTCTGTAGTCTTGCGCTTCCAAGTAACAGTACTGACTGATGAATCTATGATAAGTGATGTGAGTAGACAGTATTTTGCGGATGTTGAAAGAAATACCTACCTGCTAGGCTCATATGATCGAGCAAATTCTGTAGATCTTGAATGTGATCACCTGCTTGGGAGTCAGAGCGAGTTGATGGATGGCTGGACATAGCAGATGTGATGATGTATAGGGACCCTTTGCGACACTACCGATCATCAGTCATGTGAAATGAAAAGATATTCCTTACTAACATGAAGAATTTGTAGATAATGTGAAATACCATAGGACACCAGCAAATTCGAAGTAAGCTCTCCCTGCGATCTATCCGGCACATTGGACCATCGAAGAATAAAAATGGGCTGCCGGTCAACAGCAGTGTGTCGAAGGTGCTCAAGCACCGGGACTTGGTGGAGCAGGCAGCAAGGTCCAACGAGCGACGGAAAGCACGTCTGCAAGGTATCTAATGTCAATTGAAATACTCGACAAAAAAAAAACTCACCTCTTGTAAAGCCATGAGTTCGGATGAGCGTCGTGCTCTCGAAGCACTCAAAGAGGACAAAAACGCCACCATTGACGATTGGCAGGAAGGCTGCGATGATAGCTTTGGCAATGTCTGGAATGGGACTGAATCGATTGCCATCAGTCACGCTGGTGGCGAATTTGCTGACCTTGCAAGAGAGGTGTTGGGAGACTTCTGGAAAATGTAAGTGTCGGTGAGTGTTGACTATTGATATGTGAGTCACATACCTTCGTGAACAGAAACAATCGTGTTCGATGCGTGGATAACCGCACTCGTCGTGATCGCGTCCTCCGCAGAAACCAGGCATTTACAGAGCAGATGCCTGCGATGATCGACACTTACCTTGCCTGGAGCCTGGCAAAATACAAGGAAGAGTTCAAGAGTTTTTTTGAGAGATTGCGGAATGAGGAACTGGAGAGCAACTCGGACTATGGTGAATGGTCGATTAGCATTATTGATGTGTTCTGTGAGTGATCTTGTTGTTGTTTGCTTACTTTTAATATTGATGTCGGCGTGACTCATTGTATTAGACGCTTCGAAAGTGACTCTTCGAATCTTACCAATAGACGCCACCATCTGCTCTGCAATGGTGCGTCAAGGTGTCATGCCGTGTTCGCCGATATCGCCAACTGTAGGAATCACTACAGAAGCCCTTGACTTATACCATGTCGCGCATCTTAGAAGTCCTCATTTGTCTATTCAAGCTTTTGTGAAAACCGTGTGCGACTTGCATGGGGTAACTATTTTAATTTCTCTAGTTATTGTGCTAATCATATGCAGGTGGAATTTCATAGACATCTCTCGCGTCAATTTTCTATCGCGTTCGACTCGTATCTTCAAATTCGACGCTCTGTGGCAGCTCTCGTAGCCGAATCGCTTCAACGCAACTCACCTGACTGGCGCCTTAAACACGCGTTGTAGGACACGAGCTGGCGCTGGGCTCGTATCGAGCTATTTTACAGTACACGTCAAATACCCGTCACATGCTAATCACTTCCCGATGTTATCCGACGCTAACCCGCCAACCCGACGTTTAGGCCGCATCGGACCTGATGTTTTCCCGCGCACTTGTCCTATCCGTGTCCCGTCCTGTCTTGCTAGCCCCACTAGGTGTGTAGTTCATTATTTTGCACATTGCTCACGTCGTAGCCAGCGCTATTACATGTTTTCCCATAGTCCACAGCGCCTCATGTTTATTTACATGTACTTCGGATCCGAAATACTCCGCCGCTACTTTCGCCTACGGGTTCCGCATTTCTACGTACTTACATATATATTGGACTGACCTCGAGCATTATTCATTATCCAAGTAGAGGGGAGCAGTTCCCCGACGCTTAGTGGTCAAACCCGATATTTCGTAGTTCTTAGTTGATATTGCGAATATCATCGCTCTTTCATTATCCGTATCAGTCATTGTTATTATCGCGCACACCGCTCGCTCTTCCGACGCTCGCTATAGCGTTACTATTAGTTTCCGACACCCCGAACCAGAACCCGATACCCCGAAACCCCGAAAACATCGGACCCGACGCTTTTGCATCGGACATCGTAATTATACCTTCGGACATTGTTTCCCGTGCTCGGACTATTGACTCCACATCACTCACTTACCCCCAAGACTATTCCCAGACCGCAGACCCCTGGGTCGAACGCACTTGTCATCTCAAGTATAGCAGACTAGGCAGTGCAAAGACCACAACAAAAATATATCAGTTTGGAGCCATCTTCGTATAGCCCCACTCAGTATTGTTGTTTCTACAGCGTGCCCTACATGTACATATGAACTCACTGACGAAGAAGCACTAACATTCAGATTATTATATTCTATGGACGGTAACGACTCTTTAAAACGAGTCCTGCGGAGGTCTTTAGACCATGACACCGACGACTCTCTCGCTCCCTCGTCTGAAGTTCCTACAGGCCAACAATTCACAAGTGACCGGTACCTACCTCGTGCATTCGTAGACCGGTATTCTCGAGAGTCCAAAACGATAACTACTGTAGGTGACGAGGAAGATGCAGCCGCTGAAGACTCTTGCGCTGGACGATGGAAAAATATGGACGACGCTAAAACAAAGAAAGCGTGGGGGATATACGACGAAACAGGTATATTCGTGGCTGTTTGCCGTCACGGATTTGTGTTACTTGTCGCGGACATGGTACAGAGCGGTGAACTGTAAGTAGTGCCTATCGTTTTCTCAGCTATTAATGAGTGTTTGGATAGTGCAAAGTATCCCCTTGCTGTCATTGCAAAGTTGCTGGACGTATTTGGGAAACGATTAGGGAGTGGGTACGACATTGGTTGCCAGTTTAAGACGACACTCGACAACAGCTCACTTGGACCACTCACTCGCTCGCTTCAACACACCTGCCTGGTTGGCGCCTTCCACGGACATGCTCACAGGCGCTTGTGCCAGCTGTTTTCACTCACAACGTACATCAAGGGTCTGGGCCTCGAGGATCTCGAAACGTGTGAACGAATGTTCTCGAAATCGAATTCGCTGGCATCTGCGCTACGCTATGCGAGTGTGTTCCATTGGCAGCAGGCTATCGACTGTTATTTCAAGCACAACAACAATTTTGAGGTCTACACTAATCTTTGTAAGTATAGCTAGTACATAAATCGAACGTTAGCTGACATAATCATTGTATTAGCCAATTTTTTGTACTGTAACTACAAACAAGCACTGGACATCTTGAACGATGGCAACACAACTCTACCGAAGCTCATGCAAGATCTGGGACTCACAGATGAGAGCATTTTTGAGCGCTGGCTAGAGGAAGAGAAGACCTACCTCCAAGGTCTAGCGTGAGAACCTGAAGATGAGACCTTGCAGATGGAGTATTGGCAGAAGTTGGTAAATTTCACCGCAAGCAAGTGAGTGTAGCTTCCAAGGCATACAAGTCTTGTGTTAACTGACACTTCATTCGCTTAGTGAGGCTCTTAAGGCTGCAATGGAAGCCTTTCAGGTCTATTCTCACCATGAGGCCGCGTCATATGACGTTCAGATGCGAGATACCCGCAAAGCGGAGACTGCACGACGTCACGCTGTCGAGGACCATGAGAGGAATTTGAAACTTGTTCAAGCACTCGAACGCAAACTCGAGATCACGATGCGCTGGACCCCTGAGGATGCAGATTGGCAGAGGGTGGGGAGGCTCGTTGCTCATAGGAAGTACCAACGTGCATTGGATCGCCTCGAAGGACTGATCGTCGCGCGCATATTTGAACTGACAAGGATGAACCGGGCAGCTACAGGTGAGTTTTTTTAGACGATATCTTGCTTGCGTGTTGATTCTAATATCACTCAAGGCTACAAGCTACGTAAACACATCGCCAAGGCATTACAAACACGCTCCATCGCCATCCGAACTGCCCTCAACACATACAATGCCATCGCCGAGGCAATGCACCCTCCCCGCAAAACGCTTAAGTGGGATGAGGTCGTGGAGTATGCGTTTCTAGCCGACTTTGACCTCTTACGCGACACGCGTGCAGACGTGTCTCAACGGCCTTGGGCATCGCCTGTTGCTCGCAGGGCGATGGACCTGTATTTCAAGATGTGCCGGGCGCGGGAGGAAATTCAATGCTTGAACGTGGAGGTACGGCGCCTAGTGACGTACATCCGAGACGAAGACAAATACCTGCGGGCGTGCGAGGATCAGTTGAAGGCTGTCAGTCCAACTCTTGCCCATCAAGTCGCTATACATCGAAACGTCTGAGGACGGTTCAACTCACGCCACCTAAAGCGGGTCCATGAGATATCGACACTTCCTGGCTTCACCGGGACAATATCCCCAGGTATAAGCACTCATACAGGTCTCGGAGAAAGCTCCAGCACACCGAATGCGCAGATCCCATCACAATTGCTGGTAGAACACTTACCTTTTGATAACATTAGACGACCTGCAGTGGCGCCGGATACTCCGGATGAGTTAGATGAGGAGGAGCAGGAAGAGGAGGTGGAAGAGGAGGCATCCAGAAGTTTGCAGGATGTGCTCCGTGTTGCTGATGATCTCTCGCGACTGGAACTTCATGATCACGCTGATGAGCAGTAGTATAGCTTAATTTACACATTCTATGGACACATAAGACAGATCTACGTATGTTAATGGTCACTCGCGCATGGGCCGTCGAAACCCGCCGTCAATACATTTATCTGGGCGCGAGATATCGAAATGTGGTAGCTCATCGTGTCGCACAGCGAGCTCGGATCTTAAACGACGTCAGCAACACGTCATGGCATTTGCCGTTATGCCGGCGGCACCCAGTCCCGGTATGAGCCTATGGATCCTACAGCGCTGTGTAAAAGTCCCTCGCTATTGGAGAGATATTGCAGGAGGCGCTGATTGACTGTATTTGCCTCGTGTTAGAGGTGCGAACCCCATTTATTCACCTGGCTATCCCAATTAGTAAGCCTTACTAGGCTTGGTACACACGTGCCGTGCCAACTATAATTAGGCTCGCCTGTAGTTAAATCCCAACACCAGCAATAAATATTGCCCTAAATCATATTTTACCTCTAGTACTGTATTATCACAGCCACTAAATATATCCGGCAAGGTACGTGTTTACCACACTTACTAATTAGGGTAGCCAGTGCTCTCTGCAGCGCCATTCCCGCCATTCCCGCCATTCCAGCAGTTTCCGTTCCAGGTCTGTTTCCCAATGAGGGTTCTGTTTGGGCAAGGGGCGCTCCCACGCCCCTTGCTCCTTACCTTTATGCCGCCGCCCACACTGGCCAGGACAGCGCCTGCACACCATGTCCTGCGACGCAGGCTCTCTCGAGAGTCTCAGGTTCAGAGGCCTCTCGGTTCTATGCATCTCCTGTCATTCCGGCAGCTTCTGTCTTAGGCCGACCAGGACAGCATCAACACACAACATCTCATGGCGCAGTCCCTCTCAGGCTCAGAGGCCTCTGTCTACAGACTATCAAGAAGCATTTTCCTCACCATTACCACCCTCTATGTTTGCAACATTTACAGTGCCAACGTGGATACCGCAACCTGCCCTACTATTGCCCTCCCATCAAGCATTCTCCTCCCCATTACCACCCTCTACATCTGCGATGTTTACAGTGCTGACATGGATACCGCAACCTGCCCTACTATCGCGCTCCCATCAAGCATTCTCCTCCCCATTACCACCCTCCACGTTTGCAACGTTTACAGTGTCGACGTGGATACTGCAACCTGCCCTACTATCGCGCTTGGCAAAAGTCATTTATCCTCATTGGCGTGATCACCACCGAATTATACATATTTTGAATGTGAGTGCATAATTCAAACGAAGTCGTTCAAACCACTTATCAGTTTGATAGGTCGGACGTGCTCAATGAGTCTTACATTTACTTCTGACGCCCCTTGCTTGATGGTAGACTATGGAATGGATTTCGAAGCGCTCCCGCACGATTCCCTCAGCCTCATGAACTTGATCGTAGTTATGCAAATATAACCTGTATATGTTAATATGACGAAGTGTGAGACAAAACATTGAACTTGAACAAGTGATACGCAGTAGGAAAATCTAAGGTGCAGGACCGAACATCCTATCTAAGGTTGCTAACATAGCATCAGAGTCAAACTGAGGGAAAGTCGATACATCGGAGTCTCTAGGAATATAAAAGTTGAAATCTGATGCGTCTGGAGCATTGGAAGGGGAAGGGACATCAGAACCTGGCAACTGCAAACTAGTAGAGGTATTAGCCAGATCAAACGTAGAGGGTTGATTAGCAGCACGAGCAGCTGCCGGTGTGGAAAATCGACGAACAGGCTCATCAACAGGCTCGTCTCGTTCTTCATCCCCATGCTCGCGCTCTTCATCAGTGCAATCATTGTCCTCGATGGTCTCAGAACTCTTGTACTTTTTGCGGCGATTTGGGTTCGTGGCAGCTGCGAGCCCTTTGCGCTTCTTTCCTTTGTCAGAACGAGTTCGCCGACGGTGATCAACGATCTCGCCTCTGTCAATCTGCCCCTGGCGTTTTGAATAAAGTTCCTCGAACTCCTCATCAGTTAGTACCTTCCATTTGATTTGTTTTGACTCCCACTTTGAGTAAAGCATCTCGAGGTCGGGACGTGCACTCGAGACTTGACTGAGGTTAGCGAATGGAATGTTGTCTGGCCAGCCCTCAATGGCGACTTGATAGCGCTGAACAACATTACGAAAATAATGTGTCCACTGCATCCTGGCATCGGGATCACCAGTGACGAGTTCTATCAACGCACATGAGTCAAATACCTTGCAGAAGACTAGAAAAAACTGACGTAGTTTGGTGTTGATGATATCACGAATTTTCGAGCGAATTTCGGAGACTTGTTGTTTGTGATTTGTAGCAGCGCCTAAATGTAACAAGTCAGTAGGCAAAATAATAATAATGAACATTCAAACCTTTCATCCCTTGCACTGCAAAACCTTCCATCTTGCTGACTAGATCTTGATTGTCGATCCCCATGACAGAATTCATGAAGTGTTGGACACCTTCAGTGGCAAAGGCGACGCCTCGCAGAGGGAGATCTGTAGAGCCACGTGTCATATACAGAATGGTCTCTGCACCCGTGCGACAATTGAGGCTGTTGAGCTAGCAGTAGTATGTACTAGGTATCAGTAAGCTTGAAAGTCAAATGGATGAAGGACGCACCTCATTTTCGACAGCTTTGAGAGTTTGAGTAATGTCATTTATCTTGGACTTTGTTGAGACACGGAGGCCAGTAACCTTTGTCGTTTTCCAATCGGCATACTCTGCAAGGATATTGTCTTGCTCATCCTTCGAAAGTCGAAGGTATTCATCCCGATTTTCATGGACGAGTGATTCAAGTGCCCCTCGGCCCTGGTTACCTGTCAAAAAATGTGTTAGTAAGTGTGTGTAACGAGTCAAACAAGCTTACGGTTCTCGGTCTCTTGGTTTTTCTTCCAGCAGAACGCATTCCATGTGTTCAGCTTAGAATGCCTGGAGCGAAGCAAACCACGACCAATATACAAGTCATTTTGCACGCGGCGTACACTTTTGTGGTGAGACACAGCAATGGTCTTCGTGGCCTCATCAAGCTGGTTCCAGGCGTCATCGAGGGTGTCTCTGAATTGACGAGACTTCTCCTGTCGGCTGTGTTTGAGCGCAGCTCGCGCTTCTTTGCTTAAAACAACCTTGGGACGAGTACAAGGTGGCAGTTGAATGCGCCGACCTGCAGAGATGCTCTTGACGACATGAAACGACTGAGAGACCATTGTTTGCTGCAATGGCGTAAGCACTAGTTTGCATCCAAGCTGAGATATTTAACACACCATGAATAAATAAATAAATTTCGAGGCTGTGGACGGCAGGTTCAGGGTAGACGGACAGGCATATTCAGACTGACATAAACAGATTCTAAGATCTACAAGAACACTAATCCAAAGAAGTAAAGCGCACATACAAAGACTAGAATTCCAAGGACCTTGAGAATGAGTGTCAGTACCGAATATGATGGATCATACTAACACCAAAAGAGTTAGCACGGATTGAACAGTTTGAAATAGTATAAAAAAACACCAACCTTGACAACCTCGGGTTGAACTTGAAGGTCAGCGAGCAGAGCCTTCGACAGGATAGCAGCCTGTTCATAAGTAAGGTTCCACTTTGGCGACCTAAACACTACCTCCCATCGGCTACTGCGGGTAGTTCCAATTAAGGTTCGCAATCTAAGCAAAATTTCATCCCCCAAACCGAGCCGATCAAGTGCCACATCAGTATTTACTCCAATGCTAATAAGTGCAGGGCCAAACCTTGGCTCATCGTGGCTAAGTTCCTGACCTGAAAAAAGTGGGCCTGCGTTGTTGTCTCCAGGGACAAATACATCTGCAAGTCGACGTTGACGAATTCGCTGGGAATGTGCTGTTGGTTTTTTCGCAATGCTGATAGCCAATTCCACTCCCTGACGAATGGCCACAGACGGGATGTTGGTTGGAGTCTTTGACTGAGCTTGAACTTCGAAGTCATTGGAAAAAGCTTGCGGTGATTGCGCAGAGCACTGAATATGGGCTCCAGCAGCATCCATGGGTGCAGGAAGGTATTGTGGACCGTGAGTATTGATATGTGCAGCAGGAACTTCAGAATTATGTTAGCAGTGAGATTAGTATACGAAAATCAATTGACTTACAGCGCTTAGGTGGTTTGATGCCTTCGACAGCACAACGCTTGGAAAAGCGTTGAAGATGAGGTAGCGCAAATTCTGCAGCAAAAGCCTGTACTAAGGTAGTGACGTCTCCACCGATGCGCTGTGGTGTTTCTTGAAGTTCACGGGGTGTGATGTAGAGGTCGAGAGCAAGTTCCTCAGGCAAGGTTGTTGAAGACACTTCAGAGCCTGGGCATCGAATGAGGAGAGAGATTCCGCCATCGATACGGTCTTGCATGGTTACCTGAATAATTTTAGAAATTTTAGAAAGAATGTATGAAAGTCTAAACTTACTGCATCAAAAAGATCCCAGAGTGCGGCCTCAACTAGTTCAACGTGAGTGAGAGTCCTCTCTTTACCATTGGTCTGATTGAATGCAGCATATGCCGGGTGAAGACCACCAAGTTTCCTAGCGTGATAATGAGCACCATCAATGTGCGTGTCATGCCTAAACAATGCCCTTCCAGCCGCTTGACGTTCATTGTTGCTGAAGCCTTGTGCAAATGGCGATGCATGGAGAGCAGCTAGACTAGACATTGTGAAATGACCAGATTCCGGTACTAGTGTGAGCATCTCCATTGGCGATGATTTTTGTGCGGATGGCTGTGGTTTTGCCTTGGGGGGAGTAACGACCATGATGTTGAAAACAGACTGCTGTAGTTTAAACGTAAAGGTCAAAGGCGCTAGCAAAGGCTATTTAATAACACATAATAGGAGTGTTCGTCCTACCATCAGAAAGGTTTTGGTAAACATTGATGTATTGACAGCGGTCATGTAAGCAAGCCTGGCGCCTCAATTACTAGACATATTAACACTCATGTAAGTATCAGGTCCAAGTAGAGTAGCTTTCAGACCATTACTCTCGCTATTCTCAAGTTCAAGCAGGGTAACTTTCAGACCACCGCTCTTGCTATTCTAGAGTAGATTGATGTTCAAGCAGGGTAGCTTTCAGACCGCCGCTCCTGATGTTCTATGAAGCTGATTCTATGTAAGTAAGCCCGCCTCAATCACTATATATACATTAACCCTCATGTAAATCTCATGCTCAAGCAGGGTAGCTTTCAGACCGCCGCTCTTGCTGTTCTCAAGCTGATTCTATGTAAGTAAGCCCACCTCTCGCTATTCTAAAGTTCAAGCAGGGTAGCTTTCAGACCGCCGCTCTTGCTGTTCTCAAGCTGATTCTATGTAAGTAAGCCCACCTCTCGCTATTCTAAAGTTCAAGCAGGGTAGCTTTCAGACCGCCGCTCTTGCTGTTCTAAAGCTGATTCTATGTAAGTAAGCCCGCCTCTCGCTATTCTAAAGTTCAAGCAGGGTAGCTTTCAGACCGCCGCTCTTGCTGTTCTCAAGCTGATTCTATGTAAGTAAGCCCACCTCTCGCTATTCTAAAGTTCAAGCAGGGTAGCTTTCAGACCGCCGCTCTTGCTGTTCTAAAGCTGATTCTATGTAAGTAAGCCCGCCTCTCGCTATTCTAAAGTTCAAGCAGGGTAGCTTTCAGACCGCCGCTCTTGCTGTTCTAAAGTAGATTAATGTTTAAGCAGGGTAGCTTTCAGACAACCACTCTCGCTGTTCTGAAGCATGATTATTATTATCAGAAGTGTCATTACATACATAGCAGAGTGCTGTAGATCACGAGATAAATGTTAATCGTTAATGGATTGTAGATAGTCGGCCATGTCCTGCGTCAATGAATCATTCTCTTCAGCATCTAGGTCAATATCGGAAGCGATGATGTCATGCACATCATCAATGATGTCTCGTTGCACTGCAATATAATTAGTTTCAAAACATCAAATAACGAACACTTGCACAAAACGTACCAGGACAGGTAGGACGGGCTGAATCTGCATTATCATTGCTAGACGATGTGAACTGATTAAGGCGGACACCAACACCTCTCGTTCCTGAAAATCCAGGAATGCGATCTAGGTGAAAAGAATGAATAACATTGATGGCCATACGTGAACGCCACTGGCGTCGAAGCTCATTCCCCAACTGTGGGTTCGAAACATGAAGATCCTGTATGACAGTAGAGGTATGGAGTTCTTCATCATGAATTGCCGTACGCAGACGGCGAACTTCGACGTTGAGCCGAGTAATTTCTTCGCGAGCTCGACAAAGCTTGAAATATTTGGTGGTCGCCTCTCGATGAGCAGGTGTTGCCCAGTCACTATTTCGAATATCAGTACGAGAATGGTGCAGCAGATCGAATTCGCCAAGGAAACTGTAGTCAGCGATGTCTTTCCAAGATACCTTCTGTCGCGGTGGATTTAAAGCGACAGCTTGGACATTGTAGCGGTTTATGGCATTCCGAATAGCTTCTGATCGCCGTTGTAGCGCTTTGCCGAGTTGTTGACGTAGTTTATACCCTAAAAAATGTTAGCTCACTGAATGTGTGATTTGCAATAAACAAACACCTGTGCCGGACAATGACAACTTCGAAAGTTCAAATAACCTCATAACAACCAGACGCTCCAGGTCATCTAGCACACTGCGATACTTGCTGAGAGATACTTCCTCCTTAAAATGGTTATACTCCTGGCCGCCAATCTCCCATCGTGCATCAACAGCCAAGAGAGCTTCTACGTGCGCAACCAATGCCTCGGCATGCTGTAATTTAGCGTATGAAGAGTCGACCCGAATACGAGCTTGCAAAAGTGCGTTGTTTATCTGCTCCAGGTTACCGGCTGCAATTGCAGTGAGGGAACTGTTAGCAGCTTCGCGTGCTAAGTCCCAATCAGCCCTAATAAATTAGTGTCAGGGCCACATATCAACAAAATAGTTATCATTACCTCCGTTCAGCAAGCTCATCGAGCACCTCAACGTACTGAACAGAGAGGCGATCTTTTTCAGGTGGCTGCTTCAAACCGTCAAGATAATCATGTTCTTCCTTGAGGAAGCGAGGGAAGTCGGCATCAGTAAGACCAAGCTCAGATTGAATGATGGCTAGTTCAGCCGTGAGCACACTGATCTGTTTGGTGGCTTCTCGGTAATGATTTGATAAAAAATTGGCTGACAAAATATCAGTTTCATAATCGAATATTAGGTCCTTAAAGAAATTACGCACAAAGCACAGCATACTTGTCAGCGTCCCAAAAAGCAAAGTGTTCTTCGATAGTTTGGTGCCGGTGGAACGGGCTTGCATGTCTAGTGCTACGAGCGAGCTCATTTGAGGCGGAAAATATGTGCTCGCACCCTTCACCCTCACTGTGTCCAGTGCCCAAAATATATGTTGGATGCCAGACCAACTGGCATTTGCGGTTGTGTGCATGGCCGTGAAACGCGCCAACCATCATCCGAAAATTCAAGTCTAATGCTCGCGGGCCTAAGGAGCTATTCGTTAAGGTCTTGGAGAACGCGCAGCCGATGTCGTAAGCGCAAGCTCCATTCTTCCCGTAAACCGTAAGAAGCTTATCGATGAGCGCGAGGGGATATTTAGCTCTATCAAATCAAGTCAGTGCCAAATTAACTGACGGCAAGAGTGAATTACAGTTCTCCGCTTTGGATCATGTCGCAGGCCAGGAGTACGAAACGATGACGGCAGGCAGCAATAAAAATGCCTGATTCGTGGAAGACTGAAAACATCTTCTTGCGTGTTTCGGGTCCGGCATTTCGCCAGCGACTAACGCAAGTGAGTGAGCCCGGGTTAGTCTTGATGGGTTCATCTCCCCAATCATCTAGACTTGAGTCCTGTACGACATCATCAGGCAGTGATAACATCAGAAGAAAAGACTTACTCCCTGAGCTTTAACTTCACCCTTGAATTGGTCTACAGCCGTGGGTCCAATCCAGTAGTCGGAACGTGCCTTGCGAGAATCCATGCATGCAGTTGTACCATATATAGCGGAATCCCAGTGTTTCAAGCTATTGTTGCCATCTATTGAGACGAGCCAGTCAAACTCAAGTGTGGGCTCATCCTGGAGCTTATAGAAACATGCTGGACAGGAATTGAGTAAACGCCAGTTAGGCGTGTCGTGATTCAGGGCTGCCCGGAGACGCTTATCGACAATGTGAGCGATTTCGAGGTATATGTCATATGCAGCCGAAAATTGCATGCACAAGTATGGCCGATAAGGAATCTATTAAATGCCCATCGTAAGATGGTTCACCAGATGAGCCATGCACTTACGTCATGAAGAAAACACAGAGCTTTGCATTGAGCTTGGATGCTGAAACGAGGACACATTCGATGAATTTGGCGGTAGGCAGCAAGAGTGCGTAAGGATATTGCAACCGTGGGATACATTGGCGCACACCCAATGTAGCCATGATAAATCAGGGTCTCATTAGGGTACTTGTGAGACAACAAAGATTGAGGCGATGAGCGGCTTCGCTCTGAAAATAAATTAGCATTGATAGCAGGGTTGTCACGAGTACCTCATACGAACCATTATTCTTTTCTGAACTCTAAGTCCTATAAGCGCCCTGATAAAGCGCCTGTTCATAAGAATGTATTTACGGTTGAAGATGTAGAAGAGGATGCACCTGTGGTTGCGTCTATTGTAGAATTACCTAACAAACACGAGGTTGAGTCACGTGACTTATCGGAATATGCCGGACTAAACTTTATACCACGTGAACCTGATGCGATGTTCCAGAACCTGTCGGTTGCTGCGGCACGTGTTATGACATCATAGGTTATATATAGAATCGTACGATACCGTTTCCTATTATTTGATTGGTAGTTAGTTTGAACTCAGTTTCAGTCTCCGACTTAATATATGTATATAGGTAACTAGTTTGTAGTCGGTAGTTCTTTAGTTCAAACCTCTCGTCTGTACATTACTTGTACCAGCCCAGACGTACCTGCTCGAATCTATCTTCTTTGTTTGGTTTATCTTGTGTTTGAGTCCTAGTCTCTGCCCAGCGTTAATTCGTTATTGGGTTGTGACATTAGGTTTGAACTATAGGAGACTCCGACTTGCGTTACCGCTCGCATTCATACTATATCCTTTGAAGCTTGATCCAGCTATAACCTAGCTCGCTCAACCTTTGAACGATCAGTGTTACTATCATCTTTGACCTCTCGCTATTACGTGTCTCCAACAGCATATTGCTTCGGACGCACGTACTAGTAAGACGTTACACATTCTTCATTGCCCGGCCTAAACAGCCGTGACTTTCGATTGAAAACCTTTTCCTTTGCTCGCTTGAGCATCTTCGTACTTTACACCTTTCGTAGTTAGTAGTCCTATACCAGGCCCTGCCTTACATTGCAGCCGCCAGTATACGGAGGTGTTGACGACATTAGGCGTCTCGCTACAACTTGGAGTGCTGGCCCAAAACCCTGCCTGCTCCACATTACTATAGTTTCCTTTTACGAATACCTTTTCTTCATACGCACGTAGGCATCCACTTCGAGTAAATAGCGGAACTGTCTAGTGGTTACGTATTGCATTTGACCTAAGAGGATTTAGAGGCATCCCCTAGTGAGACTCGCACTTGTAGGCTCCGGCCGGAAGAGTGATAACTTGTCCTAGGTTTGCACCCTCAAAACGGAGATTGTAGCGACCCTAGTTTTTCCCACTCGAACGGGTATAGTTTACGTACTCCCGTTTTAGTTAGTAGATAGAGGAAGCGTCAGTGTGGGATATTACCAGAACCCCTTGACCCTGAGCCAGTGGTAGATCCGATCAGATATCGGGGACCGCTCAGTTTTCCTTTACGTAGACTTTTTCACATTGATCTTTATCACCATTTTCCCTATTCGGAGTAGCCCTTACGAGCAGCTACTCAAATTGACATTCGTGAATCGGGTTCCAGAATACAACTGGCACGATGTCATCTACTTCTCAGATTCCATGCAAGTTCCTTCGAGATATTGGCAATTGCTGGTTCGGTGCGAAATGCCGATTTAGCCATATCTTCGAGTGCAACAACTGCGGAGAGAAGGGCCATTTGGCCAAAGACTGTCAGAAGAAGATTCCGATCCAAGATCAGAAGGTACCACCGAAGTGGTTTACCGAATGGAGGGATTCGGACATTGGCAGAGAGTTTACGGGGAGACCTCCGAAATGGTTCGAATTCTGGTTGTCAACAGATATGGGCAAAAAGATCGCCCTGACAATCAAGAAAGAAGAAGCCAAGAGGTTGGTGGGGGCGCCCAAGTGGTTTACAAGGTGGTTGACCACGGAAGGCGAAAAGAACGAAAAAGGAGCGAAGCCAAAGACCGAGGGCTTAGATCCTAATAATAAATACTCGATCCTATCAAACTACGCGGATGTTGAAGAAGTGTTTCTCAAAACGAAATCAGAGCACTTCTACATTCCCGTTACGTTGAGTGGAAAGAACCGGCAAGCCGAAGTCAAAGCACTGGTAGATTGCGGTGCTTCGACACTATTTATAGATAAAAAGTTTGTGGAAAAGAAGGGGATTTCATGTCGGAAGTTGGAGAGACCGATTCCCGTTAAAAATATTGATGGCTCGTTGAACGCAGCCGGATCGATGACTCACTTTGCCGAGTTAGGTCTGAAGATCGGAAATCATGAAGAAGACAAGGCAGCATTCATGGTTACAGACCTCGGTAGTGACGATGTAATTATTGGTATCGATTGGTTAAGATATCACAACCCGGAGGTGGACTGGAACGCAGGACGTTTCTCCCTCACGCGTTGTCCTGTTAAATGTATGACGAAAAAGGAAAAAAGATTACAAAATCGAGAAAATAGAAAAAACAAAAGAGGCACTTTGCCCGATCTGATTCCGACGGAGGATGACGATGATGAAGAAGACCCGAAGAGGGCACGAGTTGAAGTGGCAGAAGATGAGGAAGATCCAGTAGAATGGATAAGATATAAAGCCTCGGTTGCCACGGAGCAGAAGGTTGCAGAAGAAGCAACGAAGGTGAAGAAATCGGTTGAAGAGATGGTTCCCGATTGGCTTCACGATTACCTGGGAGTTTTCTCAGAAGAAGAATCTAAGCGCTTCCCTGAAAGAAAGAAATGGGATCATGCGATAGATCTTAAAGATGATGGCGATCTTCCGCCGAATGCGAAACCCTACCCTTTGTCACCCAAGGAGATGGACACTTTGAAAGATTGGTTGAAGGCTGAAACCGCACTGGGACGTATTAGAGAGTCACAATCCCCAGTGGCAGCACCTTTCTTCTTTGTGGCCAAGAAAGATGGCAAGTTAAGACCGGTTATGGACTATAGAAAGCTCAATGAGAAGACGGTTAAAAATGCATACCCGCTACCGAGATCTCAAGATTTGATTGACGCTTTAACCGGTGCCACGATGTACTCCAAAATGGATGTAAGATGGGGGTACAATAATATTCGCATGAAGGAAGGAGACGAGTGGAAGGCGGCCTTCAAAACGCCGTTTGGTCACCATGAACCAACCGTGATGTACTTCGGGTTAACTAATTCCCCTGCCACATTTCAAACGATGATGAACGAGATATTCAGAGATTTAATTGATGGAAAGACCGTAGTTGTCTATATCGATGATATCCTCGTGTTCACAAACGGCAGTAGGGAACAACACCAGAAAGTTGTACGAGAGGTACTGAAACGACTAAAAGAGAATGACTTGTATCTGAAGCCTGAAAAGTGTAGCTTCGAACAGTCAGAAGTCGAGTTCCTCGGGTTAATAGTGGAGAAGGGTGGTGTTCGGATGGACCCTGTGAAAGTAGAAGGAGTAATGAAATGGCCTGTACCCAAATGCGTTAAAGATATCCAAGCATTTATGGGCTTTGCCAACTTCTACAGAAGATTTATTCTTGGGTTCTCGGATATTGCCAGACCGATGAATGATTTATTATGAAAGGATGTCAAATGGAACTGGACGGAGAAACAGCAAGATGCTTTTGATGAACTGAAGTCAAGGTTTACATCAGCTCCTGTTCTAGTTATGCCTGATGTTGGGAAAAAGATGAAAATAGAAACCGATGCTTCTGATTATGCAACTGGAGCGGTTCTATCCCAATTGATGGAAGATGATTTATGGCACCCCGTAGCTTTTTACTCGAAGTCAATGAACGATGCAGAACGAAATTATGACATCCATGACAAAGAGTTATTAGCAATCATTCGAGCGTTGGAGGAGTGGAGGCACTATGTGCAGGGAAAACCTCACCATGTGGAGATCTGGACGGATCACAAAAATCTCGAGTATTTTATGACGAGCCAAAAATTGACAAGAAGGCAAGCCAGATGGAGTTTATTCCTGGCGGAGTATGAATTTACGCTCCAACATAAGCCTGGTGTAGTCAATGATAAGGCGGACCGTCTATCTCGGAGAGAAGACCACAAGGGGGGGGATAGAAAACGATAACTCAAACCGCATTCTGTTGAAACCGGAGTTTTTTACTGTAAAAGCTGCTAAAAGAGGCCAAGTTCTGGTGCAAGGAGAAGAAAAATTGCTGAGAAAGATAAGGCAATGCACAGAAAAGGAGCCCGAAGTCGCTAAAGCGTTAGAAACGTTAAAAGCAGCACCGGTACAATTGCGTAGAGGAGTCGAAGAATGGAATGTTGAGGATGGATTGGTGTTATTCCGAGGACTGGTTTACGTTCCAAATGATAAAGAGATCCGCCGAGAGATATTGGAGTTGTTTCACGACTCTCCACCGGCTGGACACCCTGGACGTGCCAAGACCTTAGAATTAGTCTCCAGAAATTATTGGTGGCCTTCAATGACGAAGTATGTCCACGACTATGTAGATGGTTGCGATCGATGCAGACAAACAAAGGTGTTTCCGAGTAGACCAACCGGACCCCTGCAGCCAAATGAGATTCCTAACGGACCATGGCAAACGATCTCTTGCGACTTGATAGTGGACCTGCCAAAAGATAAAGGATATGACAGCATATTTGTGGTGGTTGATCAATTTTCGAAACAGTCACACTTTATTCCCACCACAAAAGAAGTAAACTCGAAAGGGATTGCTGATCTATTCCTAGAAAATGTATGGAAACATCATGGAACGCCAAAGAAAGTGATATCGGACAGAGGAACACAGTTTGTTTCCAAGTTTATGGGAGAAGTGTCAAAAAGATTAGGCACAAAATGGTCAATGTCGACCTCGTATCACCCCAGAACGGATGGACAGACAGAGCGCGTTAACCAAGAAGTCGAACAGTATTTGCGCGTGTTCACATCCTATAGGCAAAATGATTGGGTAAATTGGTTGCCAATTGCGGAGTTTTCACATAATAACTCGATAACCGCTACTGGGCACACCCCTTTCAAAGTCCTTTATGGATATAATCCCGATTTCACGATACATCCAAACTCTTCGTCCCGAATTCCTGCAGCAGATGAGAGGATGCAACAAATGAAAGAGGCAAAAGATGATGCAGAAAGTACCCTCAGAATCGTGAACGAGAGAATGAAAAAGTTCTACGATAGAGGCGTTAAAGAAGCACCACAGTACAAGATTGGAGACAAGGTCTGGCTTGATGCAAAGAATATTAGGCAAAGACGCCCGAATGCGAAGCTATCAGATAGACGCCTTGGTCCTTTTGAAATAGTGGAAAAGATTGGAGAACTGAACTACAAATTGAAATTGCCAGAAGGATACGACATTCATCCAGTTTTCCATGTGGAATTGCTTTCACCGCATTATGTCTCAAAGTTGATACCTCATGCCGAGAACGCACGCCCGCCACCAGAGATCGTCGAAAAAAGAGAAGAGTACGAGGTGGATGAATTATTGGACAGTCGTATTTATAGAGGAAAGTTGCAATATTTGGTCAAATGGGAAGGATACCCAAGAGACGAAGCGACTTGGGAGCCAGAAGATAACGTAAAGAATGCTCCGGAAGCCATCGCACATTTTTATGAAAAACACCCAAAAGCACCAAAATCACAAAGAATCAAGGGATCGTTATTTAAATCAGAAGAATTCAAGGATTGGAGAGCACGCAATATTCGCCCTAGTTTCATTCGCGATGACGCTCATCCTAGAGAGGGGGTAATGTCACGAGTACCTCATATGAACCATTATTCTTTTCTGAACTCTAAGTCCTATAAGCGCCCTGATAAAGCGCCTGTTCATAAGAATGTATTTACGGTTGAAGATGTAGAAGAGGATGCACCTGTGGTTGCGTCTATTGTAGAATTACCTAACAAACACGAGGTTGAGTCACGTGACTTATCGGAATATGCCGGACTAAACTTTATACCACGTGAACCTGATGCGATGTTCCAGAACCTGTCGGTTGCTGCGGCACGTGTTATGACATCATAGGTTATATATAGAATCGTACGATACCGTTTCCTATTATTTGATTGGTAGTTAGTTTGAACTCAGTTTCAGTCTCCGACTTAATATATGTATATAGGTAACTAGTTTGTAGTCGGTAGTTCTTTAGTTCAAACCTCTCGTCTGTACATTACTTGTACCAGCCCAGACGTACCTGCTCGAATCTATCTTCTTTGTTTGGTTTATCTTGTGTTTGAGTCCTAGTCTCTGCCCAGCGTTAATTCGTTATTGGGTTGTGACAAGGGTGAAGTCCATCATACATACGAAAAAGATCTACAAGTTCGATATTACTTAGCGAAAGGCACTGAGTATCACTTGAAGATGGCGCCATGAGTGGTTCATTGAAGGTTGGCATGCCATTCTCAGCAGAGCGAGAGCGATAGTCGAGATAAGCATCCACAAGGTGACCTATTTGAATATCCCAGTGAGCCGTCTGATTTTCTGTACGGTCATGGCGTGTGCGGTGATCTGTATAGCGACTATTATGTGGGGTGAGACTAAGCAAGCGCAGATAGGTAAATAAACTCACCAGCCGCTGATCTCAGCAATTTGGCTTGCAAGACCTTCAAAAGCTTCATGTTCTCCGCCCGCGTGACTAAACTCCAAGCCTTCCTCTCCAAGGGGTGCTGTGTACGGGAGCGCCTCGGAATCCATTCCATGGTCTACCATCATATTCTCCACCATATCGCGATCTTCTGTTGACATCTCTAAAAAACTGTGAACACTATCTTGAAACTCAGAAGATGAGCACTAACCTTGAATCTCAGTGCGACGCATAGCATCTGTATCAGCTACACGCTGAAACTGCTTGCCAGCCATAAGGATGCGTGTTTGGCGATGACGCCCTCTGAAATTGTGTGATACAACTGATTTTGAAAGCCCATTGAGCCTGAGAGGGACTCCACCACGAGACATTGTGCGTTGATGCTGTCCTGGCCACTGTAGGCGGCGCTATGAAGGTAAGGAGCAAGGGGCGTGAGAATGCCCCTTGCTCAAACAGGGCCTAGTTGAAAAAGGGCCTAAGACGGAAGCTGCCGGAATGACAGGAGATGCATAGAACCGAGAGGCCTCTGAACCTGAGACTCTCGAGAGAGCCTGCGTCGCAGGACATGGTGTGCAGGCGCTGTCCTGGCCAGTGTGGGCGGCGGCATAAAGGTAAGGAGCAAGGGGCGTGGGAGCGCCCCTTGCCCAAACAGAACCCTCATTGGGAAACAGACCTGGAACGGAAACTGCTGGAATGGCGGGAATGGCGGGAATGGCGCTGCAGAGAGCACTGGCTACCCTAATTAGTAAGTGTGGTAAACACGTACCTTGCCGGATATATTTAGCGGCTGTGATAATACAGTACTAGAGGTAAAATATGATTTAGGGCAATATTTATTGCTGGTGTTGGGATTTAACTACAGGCGAGCCTAATTATAGTTGGCACGGCACGTGTGTACCAAGCCTAGTAAGGCTTACTAATTGGGATAGCCAGGTGCATTTATTATCACCTGTAACTACAGCTGTTATGTGGGAGTCACAGGTGATGGTTATTGCCAGCTGAGAAATCATCGATCAACTTGGGTATTGTGTTGTGATCACGTGTTGAAAATAGAATGCCGCCGCATCCGATCAGTTCATCATTTGCAGCTGTGACACATTGACCTCCCTCCTTCACTTGTCCAGTATGTCCATGATCATTAATTGAATGTTTTGCCAATCACAGATACCCTGGTTATGAAGCAAAAAAAAGCGCGGAAAAGAGCCACCATCGCCCTGGGCCATATACGAGTCTCTACCTCCGCCCTAGTTACCTAAGTCTCACAGGACTGTTGATGTCGGTGAGCACCCTCAGCTATGTAAGGAATCCGCTTACGCATGTCTAGGGTACCGTGATTTTCATCCGCTCTGCCTAGGACAGGATAAGGATGTCTTGTCTGACAAATATATAAAGGACGGTTTCTTGTTACTGCTTCTCATGCCTGTAAGCTTGGGATTGATCGATGATTAGGATGAGCACCAAAGCGCTGCAGTCATATTTCTCCAGCAGGATGCAAAGGGTGGCCGCATGTTCGATCAGAGCGTGATTGCAGACCTCGAGCACCCATGAATGATATCATTACTTGAAAGGCAGACAGTGCGATTTCTATGCAGTATGCCGAATATCTCGGTACTGAACTTGTTCCAACAGTTTCATAGGTCATCAGCATTCAAGATTCCCTCACGAGTGACCATGAGCGATTGAATGTGATAATTCAACGGATTCTGATACTGATACCACTGCAGGCACGATACAGTGCACAACGAAGGTTACAACCGAACATTAGGTCGGATATTGACTACCGTTTTTGTGTTGAACCCAGAACCCAACTTTGCCAGTTGCAACACGCAAGCAACGGGTTGCAGCGCTCATTATGAAATGGAATGGAACTTCTTTGTTCTTCCTGGACAGGTCTGAATTCAGAATCATACACCCTCCAATGATCCCTAGTTGGTCGGGATATGTCGACCCCTACCCCCCCAAAAGTCTGTATTTCCCGCACTACCATGTGACATGCCAAGATTGTGCTGTTTGTTGTCAGTAGGTAGACAGCGACAATGTTTGTCGTCGAGACTCAGGCAACCGTCAAGCTCAAGTTTCGATAGGCCATTAATTTAGACAGCACGTGCTAACCTTGCGTGTTATCCGGAAGGCTGGCCGAACCGTTGATCTGGCAGCACTTAAATGCGGTACCCTCCCTTCATGATGATGGTCCAAAAGTGTTACCCGTTGTAGAGACTCGTGCCTCGCATTGTGTGATATGGCACTTTCCACTAGGGAGTACACAGCACGACTTGCAGCATCACTCTGTGTGCTATCCACAGCTATTCCCTTACGAGGCGCAGCTTTCCCACGCAATGCGCAGCATGCGCGCACGACTTCCCGCGCTTTACGATGTATACGCGCGCGCGCTTTCCCGCGCTTGAGCGCCCTATAGCGCCAGCCATCCAGAAGCATCCATCCACTGTCCACCAAGCTCTCTAGTGCATATATTCCCATTTCTCTTATTTACATATCGTTCCACCTCTATTTTTACCATGGACCCTTACTTACATATATCTCTACATACCTACTCGGTAGCGCTTCGGCTCCGCATGACAGCGCTTAGGCGCCATATAAGCGCCAGCAGTACATATTATTAGACACTTTACTTTCCAAAAAGAACTTTACCTCCCACTTACCACCTAGAGAATATAGTTGCAATCTATTCTTTGACACCTCGCGCTCGTATCTCTTGTTATTCATCTAATCACCACTTAAGCAAACTCACACTTACTCTCACTTGTCTCCGCTCACGCGCGCTTCCTGCGCCTCGCGCGTACCTTCGCTTTCCCGCGCCTCGCGCGCACCTGCGCGCTTTCTCGCGCTTCGCATTGGCCGACCAGTAGCGCCTTCAGCGCCTGCTTCTAGAACCTTGCTGCACTCGCTTCCCCTTTAGGGTCGAACGTACTTGTCTTCTCAAGAATAGCAGACTAGGCAACGCACGACCTCACAACATTATAGATACAGTTTGGAGCATTCATTTGTTCCTCACAGTATTGTAGTTTCTACAACTGGAGCCCACCGCGAGGGGAACAGTCAGCAAGATCTACTTCTACGCACTTTCGCACTTAGCGCCATTTAGCGCATATACATAGGTCAATCCCTTTACATTGTCACAAGCTAACCATTTCTAGTCGCGCATTCTCGCGCCTCGCGCGCGCGCCTTTCCCGCGCTTCAATGCCCTTTAGAATGCCCATCCGCGGCACAGCAAACGCGCCCAAGTTCGACGGCACTACAGACAACCTCGCCGAGTTTATTGACACCTATGAGCAGCTCGCTGATGAAGCAGGACTCCAAGGACTTGATCGCATCAAAGGTATTATCCGCTACCTCGAACGCGATGATCGAGAACTATGGAAAGGCATGCCCGAAGCAGCAGTAGATGATTATGATGCATTCATGGCAGAAGTTAAGGTAATGTATCCTGGATGGGATGGTAAACGACGCTACGCGCTCGCAGACTTGCGCGCCATCGCGCGCGAATATGCTAACAAACCAATGCCCTCTTGCACAGAACTCAGCAATTACTTGCGCACATTCAGGAAGGCTATGCAGCCACTCATGGATGAAGACCGTATTGGAAAGGCCGAACGCGACCGCTTATTCATGGAAGGAATCCCCAGCAACACTCAGGCGCAAATTCGCTTGCGCCTTATGATCAAGTTCCCTGACCACCATCCATACGACCCATACCCATTTATGGACGTCTTTGCAGCTGCGCAGTTCCTATTAACTGCGCGTGCTTTTCCCGCGCCAAGCGCGCTTGTTAGCGCGCCCATAGTAGTGCCAATTGTGAACTTAGTCTCAGCGCAAGCACCAGTGCAAGCCATGGTGGCTAAGTGCAAGGATCACTATCACGCGAGCCGCGCAACGCAGGATACGACTACTAGCGCTAATGTGACAACTGGACTCTTCTATCGCGCATCCTCAGAAGTTGTACTTGACAAAAGGCCACCAGTTCCTACTCTCGCGCCTCATGCACGCGCTTTTCCCGCGCCTTCGCGCGATTCACACGCACCAGGACCATCAACCGCACCAGCACGCCAAGCCATACCAGACTGCATCGCTTTAGATCACGAACTCGAGCACACGCTCGCGAAGCGCAACGAGAAGTGCATTGTAGGCGCCTCTTTGCCTTTATTATCAACACCATCTCCTTCACAATCTCCATCGCCATCTGCATCATCATCACCAATCGCATCGCCTATAGTCAGGGATGACTCTAAACATCTATTGCACACTAACGCGCCACTTGAAACACGCTCACCCATCTCCATCGCATCGCCAGGAGTCAGGGATGACTCTAAACATCTATTGCACAATAACGCGCCCATTGCGGAAGTTAGTAACGCGCCACCAGAAACACGCTCGCCTATCGCTATTGCATCGCTTAAGGAAGAAATCTCGCCAATCGCACCATCACCATCACCGCTATCACCGCTCGCACCATCAGAGGTCAGGGATGACCCTAAACATCTATTGCGCCTTAGCACGCCTATAGAGGAGCCTTCTAACGCATCAGAGGCTCAAGTTACACCTCACGTCGACCAGAGTTTGTCTCTGGTAATTCAATCTGTCACTAACGATCACGCGCACATCGCGCTTTTTGCTTCTAGCGACTATCGCTTGCCATTGAAGCATCCGTGCATCACGCTGCCCAACCACCAAACAGAGCATGTCTCAGGCGACCCTGGGGTGACTCAGGCGCACCACATCGCGCCTCAGGACGCGCAGTGTGCGCACCTAGAGGCATTGTATATTTACCCTCGTCTCATTTCGCGCTTTTTGTCTTTTTCATGTTTAAAGCTCTTAAGGAGCTATATGACAATTCCAAACACATTAACTTCATCTTCGCACCACCCCTTGTTCACGCGCCATAATCGCGCGCATCGCGCGATAATTCCCGCGCCTCGCGCATTCATTATTTTAGCAGAGTTTTTGCACTATCGCATTTCTATCGTTTCTCCCCTTTTAAATCACATTTCTGTCATTCCACGCGAAATATATTCCAATCAGTCATCCAGGCGCGACTTAGGCGCGCGCCTGACACATACATATGCGCCTAACTCCCCTATCATCATCTTTAACTTCGCACTTTCCACGTTTATTTGCATTCTTCACATTTTCGCTTACCATGTCGATTTTGTTACTGCACACCCTGACGTGCACTATTCCTTTTCACCTGTGCGCCTATTGCGCCTTGATAAACCACCCTTACAGCCCATTTGCGCAACATTTGCGCCTAATTCCACGCTATATATGTCCCTCACTAACACATTTGCAGAGAAATGGCCGTTCCTCGCGTGTTCGGCCAATATAATCAAATTCGCGCGAAATCGCCCTAAGGCGCGCACATCGCGCGCATCCTATCAGCTTGTAGAGCACCTCTACACCCCTCGCAGCGCCTCCCACTGGCGCGCCTTTAACCTGCAGCGCGTTGTGCAGGAATTCATTCTGCCAGTTACAAGCCCCCCCAAGCGCATTCCAACCCTACCTTGGGTAAAGCGTCAGCTCGCAAGAGACACGTGGTGCGCTAGTCACGCGCACTCGCACGCGCTCAAGGAGGAGGATCGAGCGCTTCAGCGGCGCACTAAAGAAAAAACATATACCAACACTGTTTCATAGGATATCGTTCGTTTTACCCTGGGTTTCGTCCAGCGCTCTTTCATTTTTATTTTCTCTCATTATAACACTGTCCAAAGGACTAATAACACTGATATATATGCATATAGGAATCGCCTAGAAGAACATAGAAGAAAAACAACAAAACAACCTTAGATTGTGCCTGCCTAGCTCAATAGGATATTATTTCTCTTCTTACGCATGACGCAGCACCATGCTCTTTTTACCTTAGAACGCGCCCATATGCGCGCAATCTTCCCGCGCCCATGCGCCTCATGCGTGCGTGCACGCACTTCCCGCGCCTTGCTCATAGGAGGGTGTAGATGTCGACAGCCGCACGAAGAAGACAAGTCGGATAGGACATCCGCAAAGTTTACTGTTTTTCCTTCGCATTTTCACATATAGTTTTACTCACACTGTTCAAACCCTTAACACCTAATATTTAGCGTGCCTAGCAGGACTTGGTTTGGACATGGATTGGATCGCTCTTGGACCGCGCCACTTCGCATCATGCCCACGCACGCATATTGGACTCTGAGATTATTGCGCGACAGCTCATGGTGTCCCCACAGAATACAACACATGCGACACTCATGCGCGTTCTCGCGCCTTGTGCGCGCGCACTCTCCCACGCTTCGCGTGCCACATTCATATCACTCTCGCACCATCGCCTCGTGCCCATGGCACATTGTTCACATCAGAGTCACCCTCGCAACTTGTCATGCTATGCTATATTCCCGCACCCCTGCGCCTAAATGCGCGCACATTCCCGCGCCTTCGTGTCTAACGCGCGCTCATCCACATGCAACTTCCCGCGCTTCATGCATACCATGTGATAAATCCCTGCACTCACGCATTCATCGCCCAACAACCCAAGCACTGCACATGCATTGCACTCGCATACCACCACTTGAGATCCTCACCACACGCGCGCTGAGTGGGGACACTCAGAATTTAAGTCCCTGGGAGATGTAGAGACTCGTGCCTCGCATTGTGTGATATGGCACTTTCCACTAGGGAGTACACAGCACGACTTGCAGCATCACTCTGTGTGCTATCCACAGCTATTCCCTTACGAGGCGCAGCTTTCCCACGCAATGCGCAGCATGCGCGCACGACTTCCCGCGCTTTACGATGTATACGCGCGCGCGCTTTCCCGCGCTTGAGCGCCCTATAGCGCCAGCCATCCAGAAGCATCCATCCACTGTCCACCAAGCTCTCTAGTGCATATATTCCCATTTCTCTTATTTACATATCGTTCCACCTCTATTTTTACCATGGACCCTTACTTACATATATCTCTACATACCTACTCGGTAGCGCTTCGGCTCCGCATGACAGCGCTTAGGCGCCATATAAGCGCCAGCAGTACATATTATTAGACACTTTACTTTCCAAAAAGAACTTTACCTCCCACTTACCACCTAGAGAATATAGTTGCAATCTATTCTTTGACACCTCGCGCTCGTATCTCTTGTTATTCATCTAATCACCACTTAAGCAAACTCACACTTACTCTCACTTGTCTCCGCTCACGCGCGCTTCCTGCGCCTCGCGCGTACCTTCGCTTTCCCGCGCCTCGCGCGCACCTGCGCGCTTTCTCGCGCTTCGCATTGGCCGACCAGTAGCGCCTTCAGCGCCTGCTTCTAGAACCTTGCTGCACTCGCTTCCCCTTTAGGGTCGAACGTACTTGTCTTCTCAAGAATAGCAGACTAGGCAACGCACGACCTCACAACATTATAGATACAGTTTGGAGCATTCATTTGTTCCTCACAGTATTGTAGTTTCTACACCGTCATGCAAGCACATCGACAGTGATTGGAGGTTGTGTTGGCTCGTGCATTTGTCATTGACTAGCGGAGAGTAGACATCTTAGGGTCGGCCGGTGTGTGCATGTATATGACGTCATCCTGCTCAAGCGCTGAAACTTTTGGCCATACTAACTTTAAGACTGAAGTACTGACGCAGTGTCCTTCATCAATCCTACCAAGTGAGTAGTACCTTGTCAGTTTCATATAGTATCCGCTCCTTCAAACAATATGGTTCTCACATGAACACTACACGTGCTAGCCGCTAAGTCACGGTACAGAATTTTTACATAATAACACGTTGATAACACGAACCCTAAGTCCAAGGCTCTTCTATATAAGCTCAACTTCGGCATGTAACGCATTGGCACTCAACTTCCTTACGAAAACACTCCGTCTGTAGCGTAGCCAAATTGGCATGACCTGTCTTCAAGTTGTGCCCGGAGAGCTTCAAAATTTTCCTCTAACGTGCCTTATTTGAAAATAAAATGTGTTTTGGGACTCTTGGCTCATCATATTTTGTAGTGATGCCGCCACTGACTTCACACCTCAACTTTCTGATCCTGAGAAGCTTGGAACTTCGTGTGGATCTGGGGCATTTGGTGAGGTTTTTCAGGGTATTGTTGAGACAAGTAATGGCAAAGTGAAGGTCTGTCCGAGTCAGATCAACCCGAGTTCATCATTTGTCCATCTAATGAATGACCATCATCAGGTCGCAGTGAAGGTATTCAAGATTGATTCTTCGAGAGCTACGGACAGAATTGAAAATGTCAGTCGTCTGGGTTCAAATTTACTTCGCTAAATGCATCAGTGAACCCGTGAGGAAAGTAGATAGCAATAAATAACAATATATAGTACATAATCACAAGAACTAGCATAATTTTGCTATCGACAATCACATTGTTATGTTTGGCCTTATAGAGGAAAGACGCGTCCCTGATTATCGTATAAAATTTTATGAAATGCCATAACGAAAGGGAGGTTCACAACTCCGAAGCATCAAATAATTGACATGAAAATATAAAGCTTTACAATGCTTTATCTAATTGCAAAATTTACATGATATCTGTCAGAATGATACTACCTGGAGTAAGTTAGACAGAACTACCGAAAGTGCCAGCATGACAGATTGCCTGCAACAACCTGCCATTTTGTCACCAGCACCAAATTATTATCATCCTCAGCACTCATTTTGTGAAGCAAATTAATTTTATTTATATTTAAATACTACATATGTAGCTACAAGACAAAAAGAAAACAGGGAAAGATAGCGGAGAGATGAATGAAAGGAGGGACCAAGGCCAGCAAGGAACCACGAGAAAAGGCCAACAAGGAAGGAGCCACAAGGAAAGGAAAGGGAAGGACCACCATGAATGGCCAGAGGAAGGAACCATGAGGAAAGGGAAGGACCACCATGAACGGCCAGAGGAAGGAACCATGAGGAAAGGACGGACCACCACGAACAGCCAGGAAGGAACCACGAGGAAAGGAAGGGCCACCACGAACAGCCAGGAAGGAACCACGAGGAAAGGCCAGGGAGGAACCACCACGAACGGCCAAGGAGGTCCACAAGGAAAAGGCCAGGGAGGGACCACCACGAATGGGAGGAACGAAGAGGCTGAGTCGAGAGGTGGTGGTAGTAGCGGTGAAAGAAGGATTGAAAGGAACTTGCGTGAAAATTTCCGTCCTGCGCAAACAATGACAAATCAATTTCAACCACTTGCGCTGGTCACATGATTTGAGGTTGTCCGAAAATTCTAAGGTAAAATTTGAGGCTGAGGTGATAGTCACGTGCATGATCTTGGATGACATTGTAATTCACGCAATATTTGAACCAATCTATATAGTTTTGTAAGTCAAACATAAATGAGGTAATATGATGTTGCTCAACAAACGGTACCTTAGTAATTACACTATCATACCTCGCTGGTTGAAACTCTCATAAGAATATAAATTAGGTTACAAGTGCTAACAGTTCTTTCCACGATAAAGTCTTATATCACTTGGTAGTTTAAAACATAAATGAAGGGATATGGTATGAGTCAACAAATATAACTTAACTATGCTATTGGATATTGATTGCTGCAACGGCGCAATGTTGTAATCTTGTCGCAAACTCCTCGTGGTAAAATGAATTTTCAGAGATTCATGGCTATGTACCGATAACTAATATTTATTGCTGTATACATAGGTATATTCAGCCGTAGCATAATGATATCATCTTATACTTCCCACGGCTACAAAATCAAGGACTCATGAATTCACTGATGTGGTCTATGTAGGCAATACGTCGAGAACTCAAAGTGTGGCTTAGGCTGAAAAACCAGACCATCGTTCCGCTACTTGGCTTCGCATACATTAATTCCTCATTCAAGTTCCCAGCCCTCGTCTCCCAATGGATGCCATCTGGAACATTATCCACCTACCTCGAAGAAGCTACCACCATTACTGCTTCTGCTAAAGTTGCATTGGTGAGTGCTCTCCTTAACGTTTCCATCAATTATATACAACAAGAATTCATGCTACTAGGTCAAGGGTGTTGCTGCTGGCCTCGATTATCGTTTGTCGAGTTCTACCATGTCTTCCGTTTCGTTCTTGACGCCTATCCAGTCCAATCAATGAATGTTGTTCATGGGGACCTTCACCCCGTATGTACGGTCGTCTCTTTGCGGATGCTACACTCATTCTTAGGTTTCAGGGAAATGTACTCATAGATGATTCAGGGAATCCATGCCTAACTGATTTCGGTCTTGCAACAATCGAAGGAGAAGTAGATTTGCAGTTGAATTCGACCACCGTCGAACGCAGTTTCAATTCTCGATGGCGGGCGCCCGAAGTCCTTGGAGTGGAATTGGAATGTAATCCTCAAAAACCGACTTTCATGAGTGATATTTACTCTTTTGGTGGTGTCATGTTCTTTGTACGATTTCTTTGTTTTTGCAGTTCCTTCCTAAGTTTTCTCATCTCAGATCGTCTCGGGGGATATACCATGGAAAGAGAAGAAACACGTTCAAATCTGCGTCACGCTATCGAGTAAAGTCTTACACGCACGTCCCGAAAACATCCTCGACGATCACTGGAACTTGATTCAGAAATGCTGGTCATGGGAAGCAGGTCATCGCCCGAGGGCCACGAAAGTTCTTCAATATATCGATCAGTTTAGGACCGACAACTGGCAGGGTCAACAACCTCAGGTTCCCGCCGGTCAGGGGCTGGTAGACCTGACGGGTCAGATTGAGGGTACAATAGCCGACTTTGTTGCTGCAGGCGATTTTGGAATGGTTTTCAAATGCCAATGGAGACTGCCGGCAGGTCCCATGAAGGTCTGGACAATGTTAGTACACATTGATGATACATTCTTTGATTATCACGCCGCAGGTTGCAGTAAAGGTCATCAAGGTTCACTTATCAGAGCTAGATTTACAAGTGAGAATTTGCTAAGTCTTCTGTAATGTACAGCTCATCGTTGATTTGATAGAATTTTCGACATGTGGCTGAGAATTGGGCTGTCCTCATACACGACAATATCGTTCCCGTGCTTGGGACGACAGCAGGATTTGGGCCATCTCCAGCTCTTGTTCTTCCATGGTTACAGAGCGGTACACTGCTCCGTCTCATCGCGGAACAGGGTGCTGAATTGAACATTAGGTCGAGGCTAAATTTGGTGAGTAGGTTGTCTAGGTATAACTTCTGTATCTCAACTTATTTTTTGTGTCGTTAGCTTCATGGTGTGGTGTCTGGCCTTTGTTATCGTTCGTCTTTCTTTCGTTTTGAGCTTGCTTTCACTGATATAGTTGCCATCAGTTCATGGATTGAATATGGTACACGGAAACATTACGAGTGTTCGTTCATCTTCTTGACATGAAACTTTCCTGACGGAGAGTTCTAGTCCAACGTTCTGGTTGATATTAAGGAAGGGGAACATGTAGCACGCTTAACAGACTTCGGTCTGGCGACAATTTTCGGTGACCGTTTAGGTGATCGCACAATCGGATCATTTGTTCGAACTGGTGCCATCAGGTGGACCGCGCCCGAGTTGCTGAAGGCAGATAACCAACCTGCTGACAGTGCACCGACCACGCAAACCGACATGTATTCATTTGGACACGTCATGTTTCATGTGAGAATTATAGATCCAGAAAACTTACCTACCTTTAACATGATCTCCTGTGCGCAGGTGTTAACATTGGTCATTCCTTGGAGTGATATAAACGATTTTGTAGTTTTTCAAAAAATTCTCGGAGGGGAAAATATTTCTCGTCCTGCGACACCCGATATGACGACCGCACGCTGGAATGAGATTGTGCAATGTTGGTCGTCTGATGTATCTGCTCGTCCTTCCGCCAAAATGGTCATGAACTTCTTGAGGAACGAACTAGAGGCTTTGACAAGTAATGTATGTTCATGGGTAGTCTCTTCGCGTGGGACCAGATCCTCACACTCTCTCATAGGATATCTCCGCTGGCGAAATGAGGGAAAGTCATTCAAATGCAATGTTTGAGACAGAACAAAGAAATACATCCATCAATACCTCCAAATCCAAGGCCAAGCAAAATGGAAGGGGTCAACGTATTTTGACAGTCAATCTTCTCACGCTCTTAGGCTCCCAAAGAGGACTTCCCCGGGGGAGAACAGTGACTACTACGGCAGTGCGTTCCGACACTGTCTATGACCAGCCCTGCACCTAGAGTCAACAGGACCCAGGGCAGTCCACGGGGAACCAAAAAGTCCCTGAGTGCAACACCCGGTCTAGGGATGACGACTCACAGGTTTGCACAAGTTCACTGGTATGACAGTATCCCAATCAGTGGCGGATCCTGATGTATTTTACTTAGACATCCACCTCGGAACTTCCACCTCCGTAGGTGTTCATACTGAAACAAGTCTTCATTAATTCAGCTCCCTTTTTTAGTCCCGAAATACAACTGTCACTAGCAGAAGATCTGACAGGTCAGATCTTCGGTGGAATAGATGATTACGCTGCCAGTGGTGCATTCGCAAACGTTTACAGATGTGAATGGAGAAAACCGTTGGGCCCTGTCAAGAAGGTCTGGCCAGTGGGCAGTGCTGGCGTCACTTGCTGATCAGTCTGTCCATTATCGCACTATAGGTCGCAGTAAAAACCTTCAGGCACCACACGAATTCCATCTCAAAGCAGGACTTAAGAGTGAGGGTCTATTTTTTTTCTGTTTTGAACACTATTTTACGTGGATTCGCCAGAGGTTTCGACGAGAAACTGCAATATGGGCACACCTCATCCACGACAATATCGTGACGCTTTATGGAACGACAGAGGAGTTCGGGCCAACCACAGCCCTTGTCTCCCAGTGGTTTCCGGACGGCACGCTGTCCCATCTAATCAGAGAACGGGGTGCTACATTGACCATCAAGTCCAAATTGAAGCTGGTAACTGAAACCTGTTTAGCTGCAATGGACCTAAACTGAAATATTCTTACTCACTAGCTCCACGGCATAGCATCTGGGCTCTACTATCGTTTGTATTCCCTTCATGGTCGTCTTGTTTCAACTAATAAATTTGCCGTCAGTTCACTCATTTCCCGTTGTTCACGGTGACATTACGAGCGTGAGCTCATCCTTTCTACATTCAATTGCACTTACTGAAAAACGCAGTCTAACGTTTTGGTAGATCTCAAAGAAGGCGAATACAAGGCTTGCCTAACCGACTTCGGGTTGTCAAATGTCCTCGGCGCACGTTTAAAAGAGTGGCAAGTTGAAGGATCGATGGTTCGGTCTGGTGCAGTCAGGTGGACTGCGCCTGAGTTGCTCAGGCCACATGATCCCCCTTCCAATATTAAACCGACCACGCAGAACGACATGTATTCCTTCGGTCGTGTCATGTTCCATGTAAGTGTAAGCGTTTTGAGCCCACAAAATTATATTTAATGTGTCATTCATCCCAGTTGTTGACTTTGATTCTTCCTTGGCATGACATTGACGAGTATAGAGTCATTCACAAAATACAAAATGGAGAGGATGTCCCGCGTCCTGAGGTATCCGAGGCGACGTCTGACGTCACAGACGCCCGCTGGGATCATATCGAGCAGTGTTGGTCAATTGATCCACCTGCCCGTCCATGTGCCCTCACGGCTATGAACTTCATAAAGGGGGAACTAGAGGCTTTGAACCAGGATGTAAGTTCATGACTTGTCTCGTCACGTAGGAGTAGAGTTTCTGACTCCGACAGGATGTCCTTGTTGGCGAGGTACAAGAAAGCCATCAAAATACAGACTTGGTTGCGGAGCAGGTATGAACTCGCCAGCTTGTGATTGAAGTAATTTAGCTCAAATGTTTATCAACGTCGTTTCAGTCTTCCTTGCAAACGCTTGTTCCATCACGCAATACCGTTCCCTCTAGTCCTTTAACACATCATCTCTTCTCTACGGTCTCATCGCTGGTGAGAGTTTAGTGGTGCATTGTGTTTATATATTCTAATTGTTCCATGTGGTCAAGTCGCTTGCAGGTCCTTTGAATGTGTTGCTTTTCGGGGAGACTGGAGTTGGGAAGAGCGCCATCATCAACTTGATTATGGGACGCGACGTTGCACAAACGTCGCCAGATCAGGAAACTTGCACATTGCAGCATACCTCCCACGAAGTCAATCTTGCAGAACGCCGATTCAAACTTTGGGAAGTTTCCTCAATCGAATCAATGGGTTCTTTCCGGACCTTTCTGGCAAAACGGCGCCTGGAGAAATCGTACAAGAAGCTGTACAAAGATGATGGGGTCCACCTTCTTTTGTATTGCATGAGGGGATCGAGGGCGCAGAGAGCACTGCTCAGGGATTATAAATTCTTCACTGAAATCGTTGGCTCTACGGCCACTGTGGCAGGCGGCGTACCTGTCGCCGCTGTGGTCACCTGCTTGGAAGATTATCCTAAGGACATGGATGTGTGGTGGACGAAAAACAAGGATAATCTGGAAGGCCTCGGAATGCGGTTCTCCACACACGCTTGTATCACTTCTCTCCCTGACGATCCAACATCTTCACTTGCAATGCGCGCACGTCGACAGCGATCAGAACAAGTTATTCGCTGTCTTATTTATGAGTCCTACAAGATAGGCACCGAAACACCTCGCAATTCCAGTCCAGCTTTGACTCGATGAAAAGCTGTCAAGCTTGCCTGCGCAATACGGTTCTCGAATGTTAGCCTCTGTGGGGCTGGGCCACTCCATGTGTTACTTCATAATACTTCAGGCTACTCTAGCTCATTCATAGTTGATACGATGTAATTGCTTCAATCTACCCATGTTTGTCACTACATATAATTTACTGCAAAGCAAATACAAAGTATGTAAAACGCACGCCCACAACAGACCAAGATCCCGGATCAATACCAGAGCAACAATGCAAGAAACCGTGTTTGACTACGAAATTTGAATCAGACATCCGACTGAGTAATATCAATATACAGCACCACAGCAGGTCTGTGTATCGAACAAATCGAAAATCGAAGTCACAAGTCATGTTATTGCAAAATGCATGTCAATGATCAGAGAAAGATGTCGGTGATGTGTCGTAGCAGGGGTCGTCAGAAGTAAGATGGTTAAAAACATGATAATGGGAAAAGGGAAGGGACAGGAATGAAAAGGAAAAGGAACACAACGAAGAAAAGAGACGGGAATCGGAGAGAAAAGAGAACTCTACAGGAAACTCTTCCTCTTCTTCTTCTTCTCTTCCTTCTTCAAAGCCGCAATCTCAGCATGCGACTCATCCACGCTCTCCCTAGCACTTCCAGTAGGAGGCGTAGACGCACTCCCACCCGCAGTTCCAGTACCACTTCCACTGCTTGCCAGACTCACGTCTCGTACGTGAGTGTCCCGGCGTAAAACGCCAGGCAGTTTCGGAGCTTTACCGCTAAGACTTATCTTCCTCGCAAGTCTTTGGATATTGTGCGTCGAGAGGGCTCTCCTAGGCTCAGGCGAACTCGCCCGTGGAGGCGTGGTCGCTTTCGCGTCAAAGGTAACATTCGCGCTATGCACATGCGCAGGTATGGCTGAACGCTCTGGATGGCTGTGAGTGGAAGGTGAGTCAGACATGGATACCGTCGTCGGGAACGTTTGGGGTAGGTCCTCGGATATGGGGAATGATATGCGTGCGCTTGGTTGGGCTGGCAGGGATGCTGTGACGACCTGGGGAGAATCGACGGCTACACGCTCCTCGACTTCGACTGCTGTGCTCCGGGTTTCAGATTCGGGTACGTCTACAACAGGGGCATCATCATCGACATCGTATCCAGCTGGAGCTTTGGGATCTTCGGACGCGCTGATCTGGTCTGCCCACATGGATGCAAAGAGGCCGTTGAGTTCAAGAAGCTCCCTATGTGAGCCCTGTTCAACGATCCGTCCATCCTTGAGAACCATAATCCTTCAAAAGAAAACAAATCAGCACCGCATCACTAAGAAAGCACACTCAAAAAAACCACTCACACATCAGCCCCCTTGATCGTACTCAACCGGTGCGCAATACTCAAACAACTCCTGCCATTTACAAGTCTCCCAAGCGCACCCTCCAACACCCCGCGCTCTGTCGCACTGTCCAATGCACTAGTAGCCTCATCCAAAAGTAACACCTTCGGGTTCTTCACCATAGTCCTGGCAATCGCCACACGTTGCTTCTCACCACCGCTCAGCCTCACGCCCCTCTCCCCCACCTTCGTCTCATATCCCTCTGGGAAACTCATGATACGGTCGTGCATCTGAGCAGCTTGGGCGCTTGAGATGATGGTGCTTTCATCAGGGGGAGTGGTGGATGGTTGGCCATAAGCGATGTTATACCCGATGCTAGCGTTGAAGAGCACGGGGTCTTGAGGTACGACGCCCATTGTGCGACGCAGGCTTGAAAGCGTCACTGTGCGGATGTCTTGACCGTCAATTAGGATACGTCCTGAGCCGGGTTGGAGGTCGTAGAAGCGGTAGAGGAGGCGCAGGATGGTGCTTTTGCCTGCTCCGCTTTCGCCGACGAGGGCTACGCGCCCGCCGCGGGGAACTTTGAAGGAGATATTGTGCAGTGCGGAAGTCTGGTCGTCATAGGAGAAAGATACGTTGTCTGTGTTACGTTAAGATGAATTCATGGAAACTTAGAATGAGGGCTACGCACCAAATTCAACTTCGCCGTTCGAGACTACTAATTCCTTAGCATCAGGCGCATCGACCACTTCAGTGGGCTCGTTGAGAAGGTGAAGCAATTTCTCGGTATCGATGAGGCTTTGGTTGATTGCGCGGTACACGCCGCCGAGGTTCGAAAGAGGGAAATAGAGCTGATGTGGATGGCACCGGCGTGGTTGTGATTAGAAGACGTCAGCTTAATACGACACGAAAGAGATAAGGTACCCACCTGCGCATAATAAGTGATGAACACCACAAAATCGCTAGTATTACTCTGTCCCCTTGTGATGCGCGACGCGACGATCAAGGAACCGACCAAAAGACCAGAGGTGATGATGAGTGTTTGCACGAGGTTCAGGAGGTTGAGTGATACTACGGGTGTGATCAGCATTTGCGTTCGCCATTGAAATAAAACGCAGGTTTGGTTTGAAAATGAGAAACAACTTGGAAACGAGACGCGGTTTTGAAATGAGATGAGGCAAAAACACTCACGAACAACCCTCTTCTCCAAACTCTGATACTCCTCGATAGCCTCCGTATATCTCTGCGCCTCGTACTCCTCCCCACCGAAATACTTGACAGTCTCGTAATTGAGGAGACAATCCGTATGGATCCCACGCATGTTCTGAGCAGGCATAGAATCAAGACCCTCTCCATAGACAATGAATAGCACTGAACACTTACCACATCCCGCTCATTCATCAGTCTCCGTATCCTAGTCCTATACCTCGTAAGCACGACGCTCGCCCAGATATAACACCCCATCACGACTCCAACCACAGCGCCCAATGCAGGTTCGAACTTGACGACAAACACAACGAGCGCAACACATATATCCACGAGTGCAGGAACCACTGTGAACCCAATAAGCTCGCCAACGCGGTTTATTGCGCTTCCTCTATCGAGAATACGGAGCAGCTCGCCAGTCTTGCGTTTCGTGTGCCAGCTGAGAGAAAGAGCCAGGACATGGTTGAATGAGAGCATCGACATGCTGCGGTCGCTATATTGCATGAGTGGAATCCAGAGTGCATCGCGGAAAGCTGCGAGACCGCCTGAGGAAGCGAGGAAGCGGAGCACGACGTAGGAGATTAGGTACGGCCATGGGCTTGAACCGAATGCAGGGAATGGAGCTACGCCTGGCGTGTCGAATGTGGTGATGAGTGCGCCAAGTACGAAAGGAAGAAAGGCGTTGACTACGCGTCCTAGAACAAGGATGAAGAAACAAGCCAACTGCAGAACTATCAGTTTGGGTGATGAAAATGCAAGGGAGGTACGTACTGCGATGAATTGCAGCTTTGGATAGCGGGAAGGCCAGAGATGAGGCGTGATGCGAGATAGACGAGAGAAGAGTTCGCGCCATGAGGGATCGACAGCTACTTCGCGTGGGGTTGTCTGAGGAAACGTTAGGTTGCGTTACACTAGATTGACAGCCATGCTAACCTTATTTGGCTCTCGTACACCTGGAACTGGGGACGCGCAGCGGGTGGTAGGACCGCTTCTGGATGTAAAAGTGCCATATTTGGCGGTACTACTGGGACCGTCAGGGTCGGCATCTTCTGGTTGCAACAACAATGATTGATGAGGAACGTGCTGCGATATGAGAGGAGCGGTCTCATCAACTTCTTCTGTGTAACCATGTGATTGGGCAGAAAGGTAAACGACACGAGGGAAAAAGAGCGCCACGAGGAGAGGAAGAAGTGCAAGTACACGTGCAAGAGGCAGGACACCATGCAAAAGATTGGGTACACATGACCTGATAGGCGATGTGCAAATATGATGCAAGTCTGAATTTAATTGATTGATTGAGTTAATGAATTGAAATGATAAGCGAGTAGGCACGGACCTATTCTCGTCAAGGAGAGGACAACCTGGACGATGTCAAGTGCGAGAGCGATAGCTATTGCAACCTTAACTCGACGTCGATTCCAAATCCCGTCATCGCGCGTGTCCTTCCATGCGCCTAGAGCTGCCAAGCCGGCATACGCTAGCAAACCCAAAACACTTGCAATTTCGATGCCAGTGCCTTTAGGCCAAACTTTGTTAAGAACAACAGAGACGACATATGCAAGACCATCTGCTAAGAAAGTGAAAGCGCTGATGCTGAGAAAAACAAGAATGAGTGTTCTCCGTGGGACGCGAGATGCAACGACGACGGGTGTTATTGGACTTTGAGTTTGGTGATCAAGGCGCTTAGAAGATATGAGGGAGAGGGTAGCTAGGAAGACGACGGCGGGAGAGGCGACGCGCGCACCGAGTAGCACGGCGGCGGTGATGGGGACGGGTTGGATGGTCATCGTCCAAGAATCAAAACCTAGCAGGGAGGCCTGCCACCGATTTTTTTTTTTGATGGACAGTCGAGTTTTGATATAAGCTTGTGGCTGTGCTTAGTACTAAACTCTGTTGTGAAATCACAACGCGTTAGGCACGCCGCACGCGAGTACACGGAACTAAACGTCAACGAGGGGACTGGCGCAGGCGACGACCAGGCTTCAACTGGCGATGTTAAAAGTTAGTAATGATAAAGTTAAGTGACGCTCAACCAAAATATACGTGGTTGGACAAGCCCGGGCATCAGCTCGGGCAAGAAATTCGACTATCTGTGGTCTGACACGTGGCAAGTAACCCTGCCTCACCTCCTCCGCATTTCATTCATTTGTCATAGCCGATTACTAGGCTTGCTGCGCATACGGTACAAATAGTACGTTCAAGCTGTTTCCATTCCACCCTTTCACATCGAACACGCGGATCATCATGTCTCCTATCAATCCCAACGAATGTCAGCGCTCTCCATGCGATATCAGCGAGGCGGCTGACCTCTCGTCTTTGACGGTTTTACCATGTCTCAAAACGTATAATACCTCTCCGCTCAAAGTTCTGTCATTGCCTTGCGATAACAACCAACCCTTTCGGGCTCGACTGCGCCCCAGCATGCCAAGACCGGTTCAGTCCCCGAGGCCGTCGTGTACAACAACCCTCAGGATTCCCAACTACTACGTCACCCCACCCGATGCTGTAAGTCTTTCCCGTCCGTGACTCATCTAGCACAGGCCCATGGAGCCGAATTCAAAGCCAACGGGGTAT